GAAGTAGTGGGTGTGGAACGGGTTCCACTCAACCTCGTGATGATAATTGAGGAGTTCTTTCAAGAAAATAGCGGCTCCGGTCTAGAAAACCGAGATTAACAACCGTGGGGATCCGTTGCGCTGACCACGTGACACTCTCTATCCACAAAAGTTGGCACTAACTTCCTCGATAAGCGGCGGTCGCTCCGTCGGTGTAGTTCGCTTGCGGACAACAGGCCACGGAGTTTACATCCAAATGAAAAGCAAAACAGCGTGATAACAGAGCAACAGGTTTCTTTAATCCAACACCTGGTGATGGTCAATTAGGCCGAAACATCTCGTGTTATATAATGAGAAGAAATGAAGACACTGGAGTGTGAATGTTAATATGGCGACGGGTTGCAGAAAGGCTGCAAGGAGTCAGAATACACAGTGCAAGACAATGCTGCAGTATAACACGAGTAAGAGGAGCAACGGTAGTTGGCATACCCTGCCATTCAAATATCTTAGTCGTGCTTACAGGTTCATTAATTCACTGCACCTGAATACAGCACCAATTGTTGTTAACTAAAGGCTGACTAAACCTTATATTGTAAGATTTGGTGTCTTCACAGTCGTGACTATGAAGAATGCCCTTACGGGATGTGGCGCCGTGTAGAGCTTGTGTGAACCGACCATCTGTTCACGCTGGTTCCTCGCTCGCGGATTTTTCTACGCTGAAGATGGAGGCGACATATTCCTCCGAAACGTCCGTTCATACAGGATCTATACAGCGCCACATCCCAGAAGACGATATTCCTCAAGCCTTATATTATTTAATATAAAGTCACTGGTTTTATCAGTTTATCAATTTACGATGCTAACAATTTGATCCAGTAGTGTACTTCTACAGTGGACTGTAATTGACTTTCTGAGGGTCATGTCAACTCTTAACTGCGACTTCAGTCTCCCATTTAACCTAGCCCACTTAACGCTGCTCTGCTCTTCACTGCCTTTCCTGTCCTTAGGGAGCTCGGTTTTGACTGTTCCCTGATCAGGTCCTGCCTTCTAAATTTCCAAGAATACCCCAAATTTTGTCATCCAGCCTTAACCTTTCGCAATTCTCCTCTCCACAGCTTCCAGACTGGCTCTGGGGCCCACCTAACCTCCTATATAATGGGTACCGTGGGCTCTTTCCCTGCGGTTAAAGCGGCGGGTGCGTGAAGCTGACCACTCACCTCCATCTAACACCGAGGTTAAGAATATGTGGATCTATATATATATAGATATAGATATCCATCATGAAAATTTGGAAGGGTAGGCATAATTATAACGGTAGGGACAAATTTGTCGTTATCATTATGCTTACCCTTCCAGATTTTCATGGTGGTAAAGGAGTCCTTGATTTAGGCTGCAGCTTAACACTTCAATTGGTTATAGGTAACGATGGTGGTATAGCGTTTTTTGGATAGCTTATGAGTTCACAAAAAGCCTTAGAGCGAAGGTCTGGAGGCAGAAACCTTGACGTCCACGTCAAGTCCGAGACCATTCAGCAATTTCAGATTTAAACAGGAATAATTAAAGACTTTTTCATTAGGCTGGATCACTGCTACATGTAGAGACTTCACAGTCTACTGTGCTTAGGACCGCTGTCTGCAGACAGTGTAGTTAGTAGGCGATGAACATTTGTGCTACAAACTGCCGACTACACGTCTGTCCTTAAGTATTTAAGCACCACGGCATGAAGACATGTCGGGGAGTGGAGGTATGTTTCCACCATTCTTAACCTCGGCACTAGATGGAAGTGAGTGGTCAGCTTCACGCACCAGTCTCCAAGCAGGGAAAAAGCCCCCGATACCAATTCCATAGGGGCACACGGTAGCGTAGTTGGTTGAGGCACTATGCTACAAGCCGAAAGGTCGCGGATTCGAGTCCCGATAAGGTGGATTTTTCAATTGACCTAATCCTTCCAGCCCTGGGGTCGACTCAGCCTCTGACAGAAATGAGTATCAGGAATCTTCCTGTGGGGTAAAGGGCGGCAGGTGCTTAAGGCTGACAACTTTACAGCCATCTGTGTTCCGAGTGTCTAGAAAATGCGGGACCCTCAACGTCTTACAACCCTATGGGCCTCCACGGCCTGTTACAGGGATATCTTTGCCCTTTTTTTAACCCATTCTATAGGAGGCTGAGTGGGCCCCGCGACCTGTCTGGACCCTGTGGAGCAAAGAAAAATCACCTTGGCCCTGAACCTCAAGACTGTATTTATCAGGATACTTGCATAACCTAGAGACGGTAGTTCTGGTTAGTAACACCGAATTTGTATGAGTTTAATCGTATCGTCATTGTTCTTGTGCCTAGACCAGTGCCGGAATGAAGTGTGTTTGCATCTCCATCCCAACCTCTCTTTTCTGTTAACATTTGTTTAAAACTTACAATATGAATTTTATGTATGTTTGGGATTTGCAAAATTGATTATTATTAAGTAATAATTGTTTGTGAAGTCATAGCAATAACTAGAAGAAACAAAATAAATTCGATATTTATGTTAAAATCAAAATGCAGAGAATGCTCATGTGATTGAAACACAAAGCAAAATTTGTTGCAAATCAGTTTGGACGGAATGATCGTGCAGTTGCAGGAATTAACAGTTCGCATTCCACATGCATCACACTTCAGACACAAACAATATGGTTATGATATTCATGCGAATATTGGCAGTGGTAGGGATAAAGTCCTTGATGAAACGAACCACTTCCCCGATATACAGCATGGCATATGACGAGGCGTGCAGTGTTCTCCAGAGACTTCACTGCGAAAGAAAAGTGCCACGATTTACGTAGGCTGGACAGGAACACGCCTAGTTTGGCTCCTTGGGTCGGCAGCCATTTTTATGCATTCCTTGAACGAAAAGTATAGAATGAAGGCATGCTATGGATTTCGAGTCTTTTTGAAGATTACAAGCGGTAGCGTAGTTGGTTGAGACCCTATTCTACAAGCCGGAAGGACGCCGGTTCTATTCCCGATGAAGTCGTTGGATTTTTCAATTGATATAATTTTTCCAGCCTCACTATGGCCAAGAGGCCGACTCAGTCTCTAACAGAAATGATTACCAGGAATCTTTCTGGGAGTAAAGAACGGCCGGAGTGTAAGGCTGACATCACCGCCATCTATGAGCCGATTGTGTAGAAAATGTGGGAGCCTCGACGTATGTCAACCATACGGGCTTCCACCTCCTGTTACAGAGCTAGCTTTACTTTTCTTGTTTGCCTTTACAATGTTACGGAGCGTGGGCTCATGTAGGTCAACACCTGCATGGAGGAGACGGTAACCTTCACAATCAACCGAATGAAAAGCTCAAAAATCCCACACTAGTTGATTCTGATAAGAGGAATTCAGTAAAGCGCAGCTTTTAGTTCAAAATTTCTAATAAATTTTCGTCGTGTAACAGCTTCCGCAGCGCTACAGTCCCGACCAGTCTCGATGACGCTCGATGACAGCCAGTGTGCTTCAGACTGACCTTCTCGTGCCCCCATCCACATGACCTCTGGTCTCTCATACGCAACCAATACCAGGCGGACGTGTCATGGGACTGAATGAAGAAGTCGATCTTCCAAGATTTGTTATACAGCAGAATGAGGCACATCTTGCGGCTGATTACTGGTTATTCTAGTTCTCCTACGTATAGTGAGAGTACCGACTTTCCTCATTCTAGATCTCAGTACAAAACAGTTTAGAATTACGGGTATACGTGGTGTTTCGGTAACAGACTTCAACTGAAGCGGACTTTTACATGTATTGTGACTGACTGATGTGGATAATCCATCCGAAAAACGAAATATCATGTTCCAGGTATATACTCGTTACGTATACATGCGCTATGACTTCTCATATTGGGAATTTTGTTTTAACGTTGTCTTTTTTACATAATAACTAATAAGCCTTTATTTTCATGAGGTAATAATAACAGTAGCCGATCACAGTGGCCACGTGGTCTAAGGCACTAAATACGAGTATATTCAACCGCTCAAACACTGGGATCGTGGGTTCAAATTCCACTTGACGCATGGATGTCTCTGTTCTTTCTAAGTTTTGATGTCCTGTATATTTAGCGGACATGCGACAGGGTTGATCACTTGCCCAAAGCGTCTGTAAGATCATAATTTCATAATTAATTTAGAGGAATTTTCAAGAGGAAGGAGAAGAAGAACAGTCGTAAAACGAAAACATAACCTCTTCTAGAATAGTGGCTCTATAGTGTTTCCATTTACCTTGGGATTCGAGATGCATATGTTTCCGTGTGTCAGGTCTGCTCATGTCCCCTCATTTCAACTACGCAGGTCAATATTAGCGCCGTTATTGTCCTATTTTCATAGAACTCTGTAAGAACATCAAGAAATTTGAAACCCCTCCATCTTTCATTATTCAGAAATGACAATATGGCGGCTGTGCGTTATATCAACGTGGAAATAACATTCACGGCATTAGATGTGAGGTTATTTTGTGTGGTTACAGACTTTCGAAAATTATATAACTTTCGTCAAGGTGGCCTAAGTACTTAACGATGTATGTGTATGACATCGCTCTTTCAAAATGACGTTTAATTTGATGGTTAAAGCTCTAGATGGCAATGTGCAGTAAAGTGCTGAGTCATGGAGATATTTGGGTCTACGTGTGGAGCCGTACAGTCCGCAATTCCGCACCCCTGACCCCGGTCTGTGCTCTATGGATTCTATAGACCCGCGCATTAGTATCTAGACATTACGATCATGTTCATGATTTGTTTGGTTTTGTGTCGTCAACTAGAATCTAATGATTGTTTACAATTTAGTTATGACTGCCTAACAAGGACCTTCATTCTTTATTTTGAATCTCAAACCAAAAAGAAAAAATAAAAGACAAAGAATACGAGACATTACTTTCATGAAAACTACGAAGCTGCAAGAATGGAACAGATTTCACTCTGTCTCACTGGGTGAAAGTCAGGGATGAGTGAAATGACAGCTTGTCTGTCAAAGAGGCCGAAAAGTTTTCCGTGTTTTTAGACCTGACCTCTCTGAACAGACCGCGCATTGAATTTGGTCGGGTCCACTGAGATAAGTACTGTAGGATGTATATGTTATACAATAAGGGGGCATGAATTGCAGTGTGTCATCGCCTTTTCCTCAATGTGGAGGCGTCCATCACGTTTCTACTTGTCATGCTCCTTACGTGTAACCCAGAGACCAAGTCGAGAAAGGAGATAGGCCTACGCTTAGAGCAGTGAGTCTTCCCGTTTTACAGAACGTGGGAGGTTAGTTTACGAAGTCAAGGTGGTAAGGACATGATTGTTATAGACAGGCATGCCAAATATATTACGGAATTCCTCTAGTAAATAATAATAATAATAATAATCTTCTAGAAGAATGCCGTATTCTGGGATGTGGTGCTGTGCAGATATTGTGTAAACTGACATTCCTCAGAAACGTCGGTTTACACAATGTCTATACGGCGCCACATCCCAATAGACGGCATTCTTCATAGTCGCTGCCGTGAAAACCTCATATCTTGTATAACAATCTTCTACTTTGACAGATTTGGCTCCCTGACTTGTGCACACTCAGAATTAATTAATTCCGAAATTTGAATTTTGTATATAGTTGGTATAACTCCTTGGATGGGTGATCAGCCTGTACCAAGGTCGCTACCTACACAGGACAACACAAATGCAGACATTCATGCCTCTAGTGGAATTCGAACCAACAATCCCAGTGTTTGAGCAGGCAAACACCGCACAGTCACGTTTTCTTTCATCTTATCATGTAAAACGAAAGTTCTGTAACCAAATAGCTATGTGACGGAGTTCTGCTTCAGAAACTGGTAGTCACTCAGCTTGTGTAAAAGTGCACCCTCTCTTAAGGAACTCAAGGATCCTTTACAATGTAGTCTACAAAATATCCATCACTGAATCCTTTCCTAAGTCAGTCCTCACCAGCAATCCTACTTATTTCAGATATATTCTGATGTAGTCTTCTCATGTATCCCAAGGTTTCCCAAGTGGCATCTTGCCTTCTCCCCCTATACTAAAATTTTTATGCATTTCTCATATCTCATGTGTGTTACATGCCTTGGCCATCTCATCTCCCTTGTTAATTGTATTAATCAGTATAGAGAACAAATTATGGCCTTCCTCATTACAGAACTTTCCACATCATCGGTTATTTCTTCGGCCTTGTGTCTGAATATCGTTCACAGGAACCTGTTCTTACGCTTGCTCAATATGGAAGTACGCAGCTTCAGTAACTTGGAGTTTATAACATATATAACTTTGTTGCCAATCTGACATGTAACAAAATGTGTACTGTGTCCATGATGTGTATTTTTGCTAACCGTCTTACAGTGCACACAATTTCACCTTTCTCTTCACTTTTACACTACATGTTTTGGCACTAATGTGCCATCTTCAGGTGTGTCTCTATCCACGTCAAACTACTGCCCTGCATGCCATCACTTCTCCATAAAATGACTAAAATGCATATTCGTCATGTATATCAACAAATTCTAAATACTAAAACCTTTCAGGATTTGTCATCCATACGTTGTATCTCAAATACACGAGTCACGCCAATCCTCCTCTATGGGAGCACTCTTCCTACATTCATGTGTATATTATGCTTTTTGTTGTCTCTTGCTCCTGTGACTGCATGTGTTGTACTGCTGGATGTGTGTGTGTGTGTGTGTGTGTGTGCTGTCTTCATTTTGATTGAGTTTTGATGTTGTGGGGGTAGGTGGTGGGGTGTTGTTATGTTGTTCTGTGTATAACATTATTAATAGTAGTGTACTGTGTCAATAAGGTGGTGCCATTTAAGGGAAATTTCTAACTTCGTTTCCTGGCTATTCCAGCAGAATCATATCAAATGAAGATTTCTATCTTCTGACAAATAGTTTATTTAAAAACTTAAAAGCTGGGAAATAAAATCATTGTGGAAAAGTGTACTTCAGTTTGAAGTACTCATGTTTTCCAAACATGTTCCTTACATACCTATTATTCATTTATTTATGACAGCAATCATGGTAAGGTTTCATGTACTGAATATTTCATAGCCAGAAATTAATTTTCCTTTCATTTGTTTAAATATTCAACATTTCTAAAAATGCATCAGCTAAAATTGTAGGTATTAATGTAGTTGACATGATCCCACTTGAGTGATCTCGGTGCTTTCAAATTCAACAAATATGAGCTCAGCCTGCTATGCTCACTTGCTCAGTTCTAAGTCTTTATTTGTGGTATTACTGGGAGAATTGGTGGTGTGGAAGATGGAAGGCTTTAAAAGGGGTTACAAGATGAAAGAATCTCCCATTTTCTATCATGTTTGAATATTTCCAAACACTTCCAAATCAGTAACAGTTTCAGGAAACTATATCTGTTTGTGAGTGCTAGTGTTTTGGAAAGCCATTTGTCATATGAACTGTCATTGCAATGTGCTGACAGGTGGCTCAGGCTAAAAGACAGTCACTGATCGACCTTGTGGTGGCATTAGTGTCACTGCCGCTTCTAGTGGTGTTTGGGCTGATGTTGGAAAGCAATATGAGAGGTGACTGGACCAATGATCCTGAAATGCGCTGGCATGTGCTTGGCCTTGGCCTGGCACTGCTCTTTGTAAGCCTCATGGTCTGTGGTTATATCACTCATCGCCTGGGCATCTGCATCTGGGCAGCATCTCAGGAACCGTACAGTCCACACTATGGATCAGACGTGAGTAATACTTTTCTTAAGATGGCCAGAATGTTTCTGGTGATAGTGTGCAAACAATAATCTTCTTGATGTGCATTTTGGATGTCGTACATCCATGTTCTTTCAAAACCTTTACCCAGTGGTTAAGACTAGTCCTATTGAGGCAGTCAAGAAGTAGTATACCCTATTTTATCTGTCACTTGTAGAAGAAACTAAAACAAATTTCAGAAACGTTTTGGTTTAAAAAACTGTGATGGCGGACTGTGTTCAAAATATTATTTAAAACTTTGTTTGCTTTGTTAAGAGACTTCACTTAAAAATGTTCTCTCTGTATCAGTGTTTCCCAGACTTTTATACCATAGAGCTATAAAAATAGTGACATTCTTTCAATCAACCCTGCTTGAAAAGGGATATAGAAGAAGAGTATATAGAAATTTAAAAGTTGATTTAGTTCTTGATGAGAAACATTACAGAAATATCTGCCTTTTCTTTGGGCAAATACGGAAGCTGCATACAATTCCCTTATGCAGAGTATAATTTTTTCTGACAGTGCTCCTGCAGCAGATGTTATTAAAATCAAATTTCCCACATAGATACCATGGCAAACAGAATTGTGTAGTGATGATTCCACCTTTTCAGCCTTGAGTCAGACACTCTTGGCTGTGGACCATGGAAAATCTCTGTATTTTTGATTCAGTGTGGAGCCATGATTAAATCAGACCAGCATCTGTACTCTGTTTGATCTGTCCAACACTAGACAGAAGTAATACGTGTATGAGGTAAATCCTGCAAGTGTTACCAAAGCATCGTTCTCTCATTGTCTTTTTGAACCTCTACTCCCCCAAGAACGGGGCATGCAGTAGCGTAGTTGGTTGAGGCACTATGCTACAAGCCAGAAGGAAGTGGGATCAAATTCCGATGAGGTGGATTCTTTCAATTAACCTAATTCTTCCAGCCGCACTATGGCCCAGGGGTCTACTCAGCCTCTAACAGAAATGCATACCAGAAATATTCTTGGGGGTAAAGGGCGACCAGCATGTAAGGCTAACAGCCTCATTGCCATCTGTGAGTCGATTGTCTAGAAAATGTGGCACCCTCAACATCTCACAAACCTATGGCCCTCCTCAGCCTGCTACAGGGATACCTTTACTTACTCTTTACTTCCCAAAGAACTGTGACTGAAAAGCATTAGAGAGCTTTGTTTCTCATGTTGTTTGTCGAGAAAGTCACAGTTTGAATAAAATTAGGTTTCTAGTTGGAGGATTGTGACTCCTTTCTGTCAGGTGAAGGATTTAATTTATTGAACTTTCCGAATACACTTGCCAGGCTTTTCAGTTTTTGCAGCTGTGAGATATTTGTGGGACAATGTGAAACAAATAGTGTAGAATGTAATAAAATAATTCAATATTAGAATTAAGTCAGACAAACTCTGAATTTAGTATATTGCTCACTTTCCTGTGCCAGATATCATTGTATGTTCAGAACAAATCTTAATATTGGCAGTTTCTGTGAGTGACTGAAACCTTTTGTTTAGGACACAAGACCCTCTACAAGTAGTAAGCTACATCTGGTAGTGGGTGATGAATTACCTCCAAGTTATGAATCTGTTGTCTCATGTGGCAAACCTCCCCCATACCACTCAACCATGGTATTTGATGAGAAGCGTGATCACTCTGGAGCGCATGCAGCAGCAGTCCTGAAACAGGCCACTGGCTGAACAGATTGCTGCTATGGAAGACTCATTGAATGGCTGTGAAAACGATATTCAGGAGAAGAATCTAATGTCTACTTAAATACTACCCGAAGACCAATGTTGACTTCTTCGGAATCTCATCACCATATAATGTGACCTATGCAAGAACCAACGTTGTCACAAGTGGTTGTGTGGAGCTGCAGTTTGGCATCTACTCACTGCTCATATCTGCATGTGGTGAGAATAGATGAGGTGCTCCTCTGCACAAGAATTGGAGCAATTTTCAGACACTGTGAGAAATTAAATGTTGGTATTCCTTTATCATCATTTTTTCTTCAAATTGAGTGGCAAAGATCAATTAGAGAGCGGTGGGAAAAATAGTACAGGTAAGGATTTGTTTACTTAAAACAGAAGTGAAAGAAGGAGAAAAGAACTCAATTTATTCTTTCTTTTTCATTTCTGAAATGTCTTTTTAAACCTTGATAAGGTTATACAATATTCTGTATTAAGATTAAAATTGTGTACTGATTTCAGTGTTGTGAGATTAGTCTGTCCTATGTTAGAAAGTGTAGGGTATTGCAGACATTCTCTTTGCTCACCATAATATGAGTAGTTATGCAAGAAATGTTTTTATGAAGGGTTATATCCTTGTGTGGGTTCGAGAATACTCATGCAGTTTACAGGAGTGCTTTCATATCAGTTAATTCTGCTAGGTTTTCCGAGTTTTTGAAGCATGAAGAATGCCGTTTTCTGGAATGTTGTGCCGTGTAGATCTTGTGTGAAGCATGTTGAGAGATTTCAGTTTATTGAAGCTATCAGAATAAAATGTCCTGGTACTGAACCAAGAATTAGAATTATATGAAAACTTGAAGTTTTAATGTATAAACTAAAATTTTAATGTATAAGTAATTTAAAATATTTTAAAGTATTTGATAATATCTTGAAGTATTCAATCATCTGTAATACTTGTATTAATAACCTTTCTGATAGAGGCATTGATTGTAACAACTTAATTCATAATTCATTTCAATCATCTGATATCACAGAAAATTTTCTGTAGTGCACGTTTAGCAGTTCGCTGACATGGAGTTCATCATGTGTGAAATAACTGATCTTGGTATATTAACTGAAAACCACACATTTTATATATTACGTAAAGCACACAAGGTACAGACGTGTGGAAATGATTTCTCTGAGCCTCTCACATTAATACTATATAGTCAAAATTATTATTCCTGTGTACTAGTAAGATATTCCTGAATTGGAGCTGCTTCTCGAACAGATCATACTATAACAGATTTAAGCATGCATAAAGCATACATAACATGTTAGATGTGGAGATGCTTCTAAGGGTCTTACGGGTGAGCAATTCCGATACATGCAGTCACTGTTATTGCTTACTTCAGGAACTGCATATAAATACTCTTGTTGATTTGATTAGCACATTTTTTATTCATAAGAATTACACAGAAGAAACCTGTACCTGATTCATGATACATTTCATCCAAGAGGATATGATATGCAGACATGAAAACAATGCAACTCTTTATTTTTTTCAGAACAGTATTGAGAAAAAATATTCTGTTTGTATTTGATCCAAAATGTTGTAGTGAAAGATAATAATTTTGGCAAGTTTTAATAAAAAACAGTCCTCAATTTAATGAAAAATATATGCATCTACACTATAAGACCATAGATATTATTACAGATGTGTAACATAATTTTGTTTCAGCAATAAACACTCTTGTATTTGAAATACTGAATGATTACTTGGCCAATCTTCTGCTTCTATTGCTAATGTGGTGTGATGTGCATGGCGCAACGGGAATTAGGGGTCACATGAACTCTGCGGTCTGCGAGTGACGTCACATACCCCCACCCCTTCCATTACCACGCAACGCTCAGTAAACACCCCCTCCCCGCGGTGAATTGGCAGAAGAGCGACTGTGTTGTTACCAAGGGATACCGCAGTTGCTACACAGCAATAAACAGCTCTCGACAGCGTTGCTAGCCACACCTGTAAACACGGTGTGAAGAAACAGTGGTACATATTACATAACAGTTTTCTGTGTTGTCCGTAGTACGGAGGCTAAATAAATAGCAGTGAACACTATTCAGTAGTTAGTTAGGAGCGAGTAGTGAGTGATTAGTAGTTAGTAGTGTGTGATCAGGAGTGACACAGTCGAAATGTATCCGCTGCTGGAGACAGTTGAATTGGAACAGTTGCCGAGTTCAGTTGTAGCGGAAAGAAGAATACCGGGACGTGTGATTAGAAGTGATAGTATGAGAAGCAGATGCTTGGCTCACAAGAGAAGTAATTGGGAGTGTGTAATACAGTGACACTTGTATAGCTCCCACGTAATTAATACGTGAAGACAACTGAAGATAGAGTGAATAGAATATTGTGTAGGGTTTATAAAGTGTGTAAACCTGTAACAGTGTTATAAGTAATTGTAGCCAAGATTTCTAGGTTGTTAAATAAACCAATTAACAATCCGAACGATGTCTTCAGTAGCAAAACACGTTACAGTATGTATGTTAGTATAAACATGAACAGGTGTAAAAATCAATCTTCAGAAAATGTTGGATGCTGTTTCTGCTATTCATGAGAAAGCTGTTTGTAGCTAACAGCACTAATTTGTCTTGTACTTCATGACTCTTAATGAATCAGCAGCATTTGCTACATCTAATCCAAATGTACATTAGCCACAGATTTTGCTGTTGTAAAACAAGAACTGATAATAAACTGTATGTGACTGATAAAAGATAGAGCTATCCCTGCAACAGGCCGTGGAAACCTTTAGGGTTGTGAGATGTCGAGGCTCCCACATTTTGTAGACAGTCGACACACAGATGGTGGTGAGGTTGTCAGCTTTACATTCCAGCAACCCTTTACCCCCAGGAAGATTCCTGGTACTCCTTTCTGTTAAAGGCTGAATCAACCCCAAGGCCATAATGCAGATGGGAGGATTATGTCAATTTAAAAACCCATGGATTTTGTCTGGTGTATGGATTTCTGTCCTGCATCTTTCTGCATTGTCCTCTGTGGTAGAAGTCTTATGATAATCTTATTCTTCATCTATCCAATGTCTGCCAGCTTCAGTGAATTAATTCTGCACCATAAACTGTGATGAAAGTGGCAGAAAAGGATCAATCAATTATTGTATGTAAATGTTCCCTCCCGCGGTGACGTAACAGCACATCCCACTTCTGACACCAAATGTAACGTGTTTTGTCTCTGAAGATGCCGTTCGGATTGTTAATCGGTTTATTTAACAACCTACAAATCATAACTCCAATTAATTTGCAGGTTTACACACTTTACAAACCCTACTCACAAATCTCTTCACACTATCTTCAGTAGTCTTCACAGGTCCACAGTACAACATGGCGACTGCTAGATTTAAACTGTCTTCTATCTGGCTTTACGATCCACACACTGTCACTCCTAATCACACACTCTCCTCACATACTGCTCAGGTGGCTTTTTATACCGTTCCTGTTCGTGTCACAGCAGTGGTCCCCTTGTTACGTCACCGCAGGAAGGGGCAGAGTGCTGACTGGCCTGTTACTGTAGTAGCGGCAGTGCTCTGAAGCTGTTATGTCACCGCTGGCAGGGGAGGGGGTATCCTGCATAGCGCAAATACCTCACAGTATTGTATGTGTAATAACTGATACTGAAAACAGTGACTTAATATACAAGTTAAGAGCAAAAGAAAAAATTGATTTACTTTAGAAAGTTCCCCATCAAGATTTAATTATACCAGACACACTGAAGTCTATTCTTCAACACCCCCATGCCCTGTGTCTTGTGTGGACTACTTCTGTGCACTAGTTTCAACAGATATATCTGATTCTTAATGAAGGAGTTGGAGGCCAGAATTTATTAACATTGTTAGAAAAGACACAATTACAATGGGTTGGCCATGTAAAAAGAATGTGTTGAACAAGGATATCTGCAAAGATAAAAGATTTAAAATTTAAATGCAAGAGATACATGAGACAGCCCAGAACATCTTGGTTTAACTGGGTATTGAGTTGCAGCAAGAAGGAAGGAAAAAGGTGGCAAGAAATAGAAGACAAGGGTTGTAGGAAGAATGAAGAGATAGTAGGTTCATTAACTGGTATAAAAGCAAAACACTGAGAGAGGAAAAGAAGCACTGAGAGAAATCTTTCTCTGCCTCCACTGTATGTATTGAACATTTTCTTTACTGTTTACTTTGTGCATATAAAGTAAATATATATTTTATCTTTATCTACGCAAGACACTATGAACAAAAATGTCTAGAACTTTGTCATCCAGAAGGTAGTATATACACACAGTGTCCAAGCGTACAATAATTATAAGTACTAATTGCTGAGGTTGAATATTTTTTATTTGAAATACAATTCTTTCATAGTAATGTTAAAAGATGGGTTAATTTCTGGTGTAATAATAATAATTTTATTTTTATATGTTGTCTGTATTTTTACTGTGCCAAAAGTGATCTGACAAGTCCATCATTTAACATTCAGAAAGTTCTTATGAATAGATAATGCCCTACAATTAAAAAGGATGTGGCATCCAATATAATCCAGTGTCACTGCTCAAAAGCGCAAAGTAGCAGTGATAATAAACAGGAATACATGAACATTTCTTCCAGTAGATTAGTCATGCTCACTAGATGTAACATTGGAGATTGGTTTTCGAAGTTTGAAACCACACCAGAAATCACCCTCAGGAGCCATTTTTAAGCCTTTTACAAGTCGTAGTGGTAACTGTGTCTTTGAAGTGGTGTGAAGCTCAAAATGGCTTAGCAAGTGTACCAGTGCTGTTTTGGTCTCCATCAGGGCAAAGCGATTTGCTGAGGAAAGAAAAAAAAAACAATAGAGATTAGTATATAATTGATTATACAAAATATTAAAATACATGTGGAATGGAGCTGGGATAGCTTGGTCAGTATAGCAACAGGCTATGGGCTAGACAGCCAGGATGCAATTCCTGGCAGGGCAAGAGATTTTTCTCTACTCCACAGCATTCTGACCAGCTTTGAAGCCCAGCTTCCTACCTGCAGGGAACTGGGAGCTCTTTCTCAAGGAGTAAAGTGGCTGAGGTGTGAAGCTGACCACTCACTTCTATCTAGTGCCAAGGTCAAGAATGGTGGAACCATACCTCCATTCCCCAATATGTCTTCAAGGCATGATACAAAGTGTAACTGCCATCAATGTAGTTTCTTCATAATGGAATTGTAACTGCTAAAAGACATTATGAAATTTAAACATTTTTTTATACAAGTTCTGATTTGTCTTAGTGAGCAGTCATTTCAGTTGTTACCACACTGAAATCTGAATATATATGTGTTAAACGTACAGCTTGTTCTTACCTATACAGTGCCTGGGACCTGATCCAAATGGCATGTAGGTAAATGGTTGTATACTGTGCTTGTTATCTTCGCTGAATCGATCTGGATTAAATGTTTCAGGATTGGGGAAGTAGTTTGAGTCATAATGCAGCCCCACTATAGGCACCATCACTGAGGAATCTTTCTCTATCTTGAGATCACTTCCAGGTACCTGATATTCTTTCACGCACTTCCGGCTAATTAATGGTGCAGGAGGATATATTCGTAGTGTCTCTGGAAATAATAGTTCACACGGTATGAAGTGATTTTCAAGCTCAGAACATTTTAGTCTCTCATATATTCCCCTCCCATTCTAACTGTATCAGATGATATGAATATTTTTTTGACCATCTATGGTTAGAAGACAAAATTATGGTGAAACAATCACATATTCCAATTTGAAATACTGAGAATCTCAAGATTAGAAACTTAGCTTCCTTTGTTATTTATTAATCCCTTGTACCCTGCTTTAATCCTATAAAACAGTGGTGCTATATACACCACCTACTTTAATATTACAGAACTGACACAATGAACTTACCGGTTTTGTCAGGATAGCGTAGTTGGTATAGCGACTGGCTATGGGCTGGATGACCGAGGGGTTGGAGTTAGAGGTCAGTACAGGGTCATGAATTTTCTCTTCTCCACATCATCCAGACCAGCTCTGGGGTTCACCCAACCTCCTATCCAATGGGAATCGCAGGCTCTTTCCCCAGGGGTAAAGCGGCCAGTGCATGAAACTGACCACTCACCTCCAACTAGTGCCAAGGTCAAGAAGATGTGGATCTATAAATCGCTCCCCCATACGCTTTCATGGCATAGGGCTTAATTAGTTAAGCACAGGGACAACTTTACCTTTATTACAACAAACAATTATTAATTCCCTAAATAACATTAAGCCATTGGTCTACATAATGGTGATGCTGTGTTATTTGTATGGTATGAGCTACCTTTCTAAATGCAGATGAAGTCTGTGCTTCAGAGTATCAAATGCTACACACCATTGCCTTTAAACGCCAATTAACCCTTACTGTATGTTTGTCACATAGCTGCATCTGCTGGGTTTACAGTCACCGGCAGACCTAGTGATGTATTTTTAGCCCCCCCCCCTTTCTTTTTTGAAAAATAAAAGTAGTCTTATTAGATCATATTGGTGTCTGTGTGTCTGAGTATTCTCCTTAATGGCTGAAAGCCAGAATAGTGGCATCACAAGAAATCTGTGTCAATATGTGTAACCCCACAACATTGCTAGGCAGTGATTCAGTACACAAAGTTCCTGCAGCAATGGATCCAAATACAACAATAGAAGAATTGCTGGATGCATCCTCTTCTATGTGGTCTGTGTCACATGAAAGGAAAGTCTGTATGTGTATCCCCACCATCGCTGCTAGGCAATGGCATGGCAAATGTGTTGCCATGACAATGAAGAACTTCTGAACATATGTTCTGTACAGTTCACGTCATATCAGAGACAAGTGGGTGATCGGTTCTTTCCAGAACTTCCTTTTTAAATACAAATTGTGTTATTATAAAGTATCAACCCAGCAACCAGTGCCATATTAGCAGGGTATTTACATGTGGTCGATAAAGACTAAATATCTGAAAAGATATAACTGTAAATACAGTTCTTATAATAATCTACAATTTGTATTTGAACAAATATTTTATATCATAAACCTATAAGAGAATGTATACAAACCGTTCCTGAATCTGTGACTACCTTTGTAACAACAGTCTGCATATGAGGTATTCACAGTAGCAAAGGTGCATTTAAAAAACACTGTAGATGTACTCCACTGTTTACTTTGAACTTTAATCTTGTACCAAAGTGACTTGAGAATAAACATACAACAATTCAGAATTTATTTCCATATCCCTGTCCATAAGTTTCTCTGCCTCTTGATGGTGGTCCCTGGAAGCAAGAAGCTGCCCTGGCTGACTAAAGGTGGTAGTGCCCTAATGTAAGATGTGAGCTATAGTACCAAGACCTGCATGGCACTGAGGCAACAGTGTGAAGAGTCCCCTTGGGATACAAGGCAACATTCCACTGCAAGCTGGCCTTCACCCACATAAGGGTCATGTGGGCAGTGACAGAAGGGCTGTAATGAGGGGTCCACTGAAGGTGAGGCCTTTTCCTGATAGGGGTGGAAAACGTGACTGTTGAGGAGGATGGCTGGACTGGCTAGCAGAAGAAGTGGCCAAGACGATAAAAGCGCTTTTCAAGGAAACTAGACCTTGGCTACAGTGTGGTTGAGGGTCTGCTGATAAATAACAGAGGTTGGCAGGACACATCCCACTAACAGTATTCCAAAAGAAGAGGAATTCCCTCCCTGCATCAGAGGGCTTAGCAGTGTGATCTCCTGCTGCTACAGAAAGGTCTCCCTACATCAGAAGGCTCAGTTGTTGGATCCTCTGCTGCTACGGGAATGAGGAAGTCTCTAAACAGAGTGGATGGTGGGTCTACCAAGGGGAAGGCTGACAGAGGTCTCTTAATGGGAGTGGCTAATCAGAAAGAAGCACTAAAGAGACTAAGAGAAGAAACAGATGGGGGGGGGGGGGTCCCTGAATTTGGGGGGGATAGGAACTTAGCTGGTGCTTGGATCAACATCCAGCTGGCGCCACTGGTGGAGGCTGTGCTATCCCTGAAGCATATAGGGTCCCTGCCATTAGTATTCTGAGGTGGGGATGGTAGCTTTCTCTCCCTGCATTCTGTTCTGGTGCTGTGAGGAGACATACAGAAACTCAGGGGCTGTGATGAGGGATCCACTGAGTGGGAGACTGGGAACATGCTCTTGATGGGGTTGAGTAACCTGGTCATCAAGAAGTACAGGCCAAGTCAGTGAAGAAGCAGATCAGTCAGCCCAACTTGGCTGGGCATAGATTAATGATCATGACTCAGTATGGGTACAGCCAAGGGATACTAAGAGGGACTCAATCTGGAGGAGTATGGCTCTGGCTAGAGACTCTCTGAAAACCCAACAATGATGGGGGTTCATAATGGGCCTAGTAGTGTTCTGAGTGCTTTGGGTGACTGGAAAAATTGCCTCCTTCCCCTGTCAATATAATACTATACATTGGTACATGCACTGATGCACTTAATATTTATCCGTGACAGAACTCTCAGAAACCACCAAGTAGATCACAGTGCTCATTTCCCAATACCTGAGAGTATATTGTCCAGATATTTGATGCTCTGAACTGCCTCATATGTGACTTGACCTCCATGCTCAGCTAGCACCTTGTCCACCTCTTCCCTAGCCTGATTCTGAATGTCCTGGTGCACAGCAAGCAGGAGTGTGGAGAAGCTGAGCAGAGTGGCTACAGCTTCAAAGCCAGCTGAGAAGAAAACCAGTGCCTGGGCTGCAATGTCATCAGTGTCTAGACCTGTGAATTGCAAAGGAATGAAGCTTCTGATAAACCTGTGGCATCTTGTATTAGACAAAAATTAAATTCAATATCATGACTTCTGTACATATCTTGTGACACTGTCTGAGCATTCATATTGAGCCGAACAGGTCATGATGAACCTTCGCCAAGAAGGTCAATAACTCATACAAGGTCTGAAATGGGAACATAACAGAACAATAATAATAATTCAATTCAATTGAATTCATGTTTATTTACGTGCAAACTTAACAGCACAGAGGCCAATTACAAAGCTAACACGAATAGAAAAATACACAGAAATAATTAAAAAAAAACAAAAAAAAAATGATAGTCTATATTAATTACACAGTGAGCATGAATAAAGATACAGAAGCAAACATACACAGACAAAGCCACAATGTGAGAATTTGAGTTTCAAATAGAGCAGCATACACTAATAATAATAATAATAATAATAATAATAATAATAATAATAATAATGAAATTAGTAATAATAATAATAATAGTTTAATTAATTCAGTATGAGATATGTTTCATTAACAGAGATTTGGTCCAAAGACATCAACGTCCCTACAAACAACATTAGCAGCAGAAGCACATCTAGCAGAGGGGAAATTTCTACTAACAGAACAGACATTGAACACAGGAAAGTCTCGGATATATCAAACAGGGACCCGAAGGCCAACAATTTCCAAAGCAGAAGGGCAGAGTATAGAACCACGATAAACTTGAATATGGAAGAGCGCATCAAGATGATATCTCCTTTTTGCAAGGTGTGCAATTTCAATTGTTCTAAAGCAAAATCGTAACAGTAATCTACTTGAAAAAATGTTTAAAACAGAGAGCCGTAAATTTCTGCTGAATGTGTTCTAATTTGTTTGCATCAGTTGACATAATGGAATTCCAAACTACTGAAACGTATTCAACCTTGGATCTAACTAAAGTAAAGTATAATATGAGCATGCATTCAAGGGTTGAATAGTTAAAGGTGATACTGCGAATTATACCTAGCATCCTAATACACTGAAAATATAAAATTAATATGATCATGAAAATGAAGTTTAGAATCAAGGTATACGTCCAGGTCTTTCACTGAATATGATCAAGTTATAGTGAAATGAAAAAGTTTGTACTCGTGTATCAAATAGTTAGTTTTCCTGGAGAACGTTATATCTTTGATACGAGTAGTTCGCTGCACACCAGCTACGTATACAGTCAATGTCAGATTGCAGAAGATTACAATCTTCAGGAGAGCTAATAGCACGGTAAATTTTAATGTCATTTGCAAGGAGTAGGTACCTGGAGTGCTTAACTGAATCACACAAGTCGTTTATGTAGACACTGAAAAAAAGAGGCCCAAGAACAGATCCTTGTGGAACTCCGGACAATACTTCAAAGGGCAATGAAATAGTTTCACCAATACAGGCCCCCGTGGGTGTCTGTTGGTTAGGTAACTGCGTATCCAGTTTACATAACCACCAGAAAATCCAAGGGCACTCAGTTTGCGAAGAAGCAAGGAGTGGGGAATGAGACCGAAAGCAGAACTTAGGTCAAAGTAAATGGCATCCACTTGACGTTGAGAGCCAATTAGGGGAGTAATAAAATCAAGATACATTACTAGACTGGTGGTGGTGGATTTACATTTTGTGAAACCATGCTGGCAGGGATTTAATTTCAACTTGAGGGTGTGTGAAACATGGTCATGGATAACACATTCAAATAATTTCGAAAAATTGTTAAGAATCGAAATAGGTCTGTAGTTATTGACTGAGGCACTATTGCCTTTATTAAAGATAGGAACAACTGCCACTTGCTTCCATAATGCAGGAAAACACTGTTGGGATAGACTAAGATTGAAAATATGCTTCAGGACAGGTGCAAGATTATCAGAACACCCTTAATGACAAATGCAGGGATGTTATCAACACCGACAGATTTGGATGGTTTCAGATGTGCAATGGCTTTAAAAATGTCTGACTCAGAAATAGGTGATAAAGATAGAGATCCCAATGATGATGATGAAAGAGAGGGGAAGACCCCTGGAGAGGAACTATTTATATATTGACTGAATATGATTAGCAAATATATTGGCAACTTCATAGTGGTCTACCAAATGAGTACCATCAACTATAAGCTGAATAGAAGCGGAGCTTTTTTTCCTAAAGGACACCACATATTTCCAAAATTGCTTGGGATGTGTCTTAAGGTTCACATTAATAGACTCAAACGATCTAAGTCTGTCGATCTTTATTGTAGCTTTGACTAGTTTACAATAGAAGGAAAAAGTATCATATAGGCTCTCAGATTTATGCTTCTTAAAGTAATTCTTTTTCCTAATGTAGTATTGTAAAGAACTGGAAAACCAATGTGGGAATTTAGACTTGGTGATGAAACCAGGGGGATTGCTTGCTCCATAGCATCTTGGACAGCTGCACTGAGGCTGGCAGCAGCAGAGTCTACAGAATTGGTGTCATACACACATGACCAGTCATGACTTGAGAGAATATTGTGACATGTGACATACAATAAGGTATAATCACCAGCTATATATTTACGATATGAATACTCACAATTTTGGGTATGGTTAACAAGAGGCAGACTAATGCCAGTAACCATAGGAGGGTGATAAGTATCGGGTTTTATTATTCCTGAGTCAGGAGAGGTAATATTATAGTCCTTAAAGTTTGTGAAAACCAAATGAAGCAAATTGCTGCTGCCAACAGAATCGATGCACTGTTGCAGGTTAGGTAGACATGTGGAGGTGTAGATCACATCACCTCTGAGTTTAGAGTAATAATGGCAGTCAGGAACAGACAGAACATGATTCCAGTCGAAACCAGGAGTGTTGAAATCCCCCACCATGACAACTCAAAAGTTTTTGGTATCCAGTCCATCTTCTAAAGAGCGAAAATAATTGGCAGTGACTTCAGGTTTGGTATCAGGGGGAAAATAATGGTTTCCAATGAGCAAATTTTGATTGTCCAGAGTGGGAATTTCAACCCAAACACATTCGTTATAGGATTCTAAATCATACCTACGTTTAAAAGAGCGAAATCTAGAAGAGAGGGCAGTAAGAACTCCACTGCCAAGAGTCTTATTGGCAGACACCTGATTGGAGCATAAAACCGTGTAACTGTCAGCAAATAGATTATGATCTAAACACAAATCATTAAGCCACGCCTCAGTCAAATAGAGGATATTGTAATCGGTAGAACAGACATTACTGTAAAGTTCGAACTGCTTGATCCGAAGGTCTCTGAAATTTTGATAATAAATATCAAAACATATTACAGGTTGTGCGTGTGACCCGGCTGAAGCACATGTGTTCATGTTGCTAGTATTAAATAATAATAATAATAATAATAATAATAATAATAATAATAATAATAATAAGGGACAAGCTTTGGACTTTAAACTACATTTCTTACTGTCTGTAGGACACGTGATCAAATAAGAAACTGATTTTCAGATGATCTAATGTTATTTCAATTGAACAGATTTCAGCATATTGATATCAACATATGCATGTGAGAACAGTCTTCCAGTTGTCAGTGCTCAATCAGTGACAATAAAGTAAACCTGTTTCTCCTAATGATAAAATTAAGTAGAAACAAATGATGTCTGGATTATAAGATATAACTTTTGAGATGACATGAATTGATCCGAAAACTGGTCTGGCCTTTGGGCCATAAAAACCTATAAAATATCTTTTGTCATGCCCCAGAATACTGTTTGAATATAACCTTAAGAACATGGCTCTACTACTGGTTTATCATAGTGAGAGCCCATCCAAATCCACCGTTACCACTCACAACCTACAAATTCACTAATTCCCAGGGCTATCTCCTTCCATCTCTCACCTATCAAGTCCCCTCCTAAAGCATAAAATCTTACTAATTTTGGTGCTTCTGGTGATATCCTGTGTGCTAGTATTCTGTGATTCTAGGTTCACATCACTTGAGCTCCCATCTTCCCACAGATTATCCTGTCGCACCTGCATCAGGAGATGGATCATGTCAGGTCGGATTATTCCTTCTTGTTCTCGAAACTTTATGGTCTCTCTCACTAGTGTTCGGAAGAAATCAGCCGTTTTCTTTGGTACCAAACGCGCACCTAGCATCTGTGGATGCAAACAGATGAAAATATATCAGAAACTCACTACTGTTTGTATCACATTTTTCCTAGTTCTGTACTAAGTAACCTTTGCAGTAACACATTATAACTGAGCAAATTTGTAAACAATATGATTTTACTTTACTGTCCTGAGAAATATCAGGCAAAATATGCAATACTACAGAACTCAATAAAGATCCTGAAAGTTCTGTAACCCCATTACTCACTATGCTCTCACATTCTGGCTTCATTATAGTGCTATTAAGAAATTAGAGGTCAGTACCTTCATAACTTTTGGTATGTATGAGTATGCAATAAAAATAATAATTCTCAGAAGAGAGATGTTATTAAATTCCTTTCCCATTTTGTAGAATTCATTGTCTGGGTTCTCCAAAGTGTTGCATTGGATCCCAAAAGCTGCAGTAGCAATCACATCATTTGTGTACTTTGTGAACAGCTCCTTCAACTCCAGTGAAAGTACATCTGAAGGTTCACTCATCTGTGAAACAAATTCATAAGTTGAGTGGCTGTTATAGAGGGTGTTTCACGACTTTAGGGCATAACTTCAGGAGGTGATTTCCTAGGTCTTTGTGATCAAAAAAGTTCATATAAACATGTGTCCGATTTTGGACGGTTACGGAGTTATGACCGTTTCTTCATTCCCTTACACGCCCTCGTGTGAACCGCGTGTCAGCTGGCGGGTCGCTATTTTTAGTCAGCTACAGAGCGTTCTCGTTATCTTGACACTTGAGAGGTACCTAAAGCGTGGTGGGTTGGTATGTCCGGCCACGGCTAGTGTGGCGGCTACTGGTGTTCAAAACAGTTCTCATCTCGGTGCGTCTGTTACGTTCACGATGCCATTTACATTTTCATTTGAGGAGTATGCAGATATGATTTATGTGTACGGGTTTTGTGACGGTAACTCAGTTCTTGCCGTAGCTGAATATCAGCAACGGTTTCCGAATCGTAGAATACCGAACCGGAGAGTGTTTACTGGAGTTTACCAGGCATTGCGAGATACTGGTAGACTTCCCGGCGTTCGTATTGCAGCTGAGCGTGGTGTTAATGAAGGCGTCAATGAAGAAGGCATTGTTCGTATGGTACAGTGCAGTCCACGTACGAGTACGCGAAGAATTGCCAGCCAGGTCTCCAGACTTAAGCCCACTGGATTATTGTGTGTGGGGATGGATGAAAGAACTGGTTTACAGTGTGAAGGTGGCAACGCGAGATGCTTTGCTCGGTCGCATTCTGGACGCCGCTGACCACATAAGAAACAGCCAGCCGAAGCTGCTACGTGCCACCTGCGCGGTTCACAACCGAGTGGCAGGCTGTGTTGCGGCCGGCGGTGGCATTTTCGAAAATCAGCTTTAAGCACCAATCAATTCAAATTAAAGGTAATTTTACGAAGTTAACTTTACATTCATACTTTAAATGTATCATGTATTATGCTGGTTTATTATTCTGTTCCGTTTATTGTCAGTAATCGTTACCTTCTCTTCTGAGGTTAAAACGGTCATATCTCCGTAACCGTCCAAAATCGGACACATGTTTATATGAATTTTTTTGATCACAAAGACCTAGGAAATCACCTCCTGCCGTTATGCCCTAAGGTCGTGAAACACTCTGTATATTGATGTAATGACTGATGGTGAAAAGTGAAGATCCTAAATAGCATTTGAATATCAGAATTCACTTGCCGGATTTTGGCTTAAAATAACGTTTGCAAGGTAACAATAAAAGAACAAAGCTATTAAATACGTATTTTAGCATGTATATTCATTGCTAGACAACAACTGTGAAACAAAAGAGAACAACAGCCACTGCTATGCAGCCACCAGCATGCCAATGGCCTGGATGAATAGCGATCACGTGGGAACCGCAACAGAAATGAAGGCAACGATTGTACAGCAACAGAGGAACCGTGTTTCCTACATGATCCGTGCCCAGATGTGACAACTGGGTTGGTTTGGAGCAACAAGCTCAATGCTAAGTTGAAAGTCAGGCTGTGAAGAGAAGACTTTATGTGTACTGTAGTTACAGCAATATTTGGAGTGTGTAATTCAATGAGACTATAGTTAGTGTTAAAATCTGGTGCCAGGAAACTACTGATGAAGACATGTCAGACTGAAAAGACTTAGTGTGTGCTGTAGTGATTTGTAAGGTGTGGAAATTAGTGACAGTGTTATAGTTATTTGTAGTTACTACCTGCAAGTGGTCAACAAATCCAGAATCCAATCCAAATCCCACCTAGAGTCACTCTTAACATGTGACAATAACATAAAACGTTAAACACTCTGTCTCTAATGGCTTGTGATCCCCTTCAATTTTTTCTTTCCAGATATCAATCTCAAAAACAGGACAGGTAGCAAATGGACAGACAATTTATTGGACATGGGATATGATGCCATGTTGCTTGGTACTCAAAAGATGGAGGAAGTAGGTTATGACAAGAATTTTATATTTATTTACCGAATTATAGAGTGTCATCCCAGAATATACTCTTGATACTGACCACTGTGAGAACCTCAAATCTCATAGAGAGGATTCCTTGAACAGCTGAGTGAAGCAGAAGAAAGATTCTGCTTCATGGAGAGTCAGTGAGTGATTACCACTGTTTGACTTTAACTTAGCACGTAGAATGTTGTGAGTGGTACAGGATACCATGAAAGCATGCTTTGTAAATCCTAATGATGGAGTTGCATATAACATACAAATATCAACTAACTGATTCATGTTTAGCTGTAGCTTGTTGTTGTCTGTAACAGTTCTCCAAGTGTGTTGTCAACTGCTGGCCAGTTTCTGACACCACAGTGAACAAAATCTTCATCTTGCTGGATGTGAAAGCTGGACTTAGTGTACTTCTCATGTCCTTCCACTTTTGACCTGTAGACAAAAATAAAATGAACTGAAGATCTGAACCTTATGCAACAACACAGTTTTCATCATAAGGGAAACAGCTGCCTTCTGCTGATTGTGGGTAAATTTCATGCAACATTTCTTTTGAGGAGAAAATACATGTGGAAGTTGACACACGGTAACGTAATATGTTGAGGGGCTATGCTACAAGCCGGAAGGTAGCGGGTTCAAGTCCCGATGAGGTCACTGGATTTTTTCAATTGACCTAATCCTTCCAGCCGTACTATGGCTCTCAGAGCAACTCAGCCTCTAACAGAAATGAGTACCAGGAATTAATTAAATAATATTCCTGGAGGGTAAAGGGCGGCCGGCACGTAAGGCTGACAACCTTACCGCCATCTTTGAGCCGACTGTCTAGATAATGTGGGACCCTCAACATCTCACAACGTTATAGGCCTTCACGGCCTGTTACAGGGATAGCTTATTAGCTTTACCTTTACTTTACTTGCAGCTGACACTAGATGACATTATCATGTGAATATTTTCTTGAGACATTGTGCATTATCTACATATAGAGTGTGTGAAATTTTGCTGTCTAGTTTCAAGCTAAAGGAAAGGATACCTACCATGTAGGTATGAAATTAATATGCAGCCTTTACATTCGGATAAAATCGAGGTGTGGTGTGCCTTGTCCCGTAGACGAATTATCGGTCCCATATTCTTCGATCAAATTGTTACCACGGAGATATACGGGGACATATTCAGTGAATTTGTGAGTCAGTTAACAGATGACGAATTAATGGAAGATTTAGTTCAAAAAGATGTCGCAACGTGCCACACATCTAATGCAAGCATGAGGGAAGTTGAAAGTTATTTCGGTGACCGAATCATTTCGAAAAACCTGTGGCCGCCAAGATCACCAGACCTGACGCCACTTGATTTCTTCTTGTGGGGTTTACTGAAGGGCCGTGTATACAGCAAAAAGCCGCGAACAATTAACGCCCTGGAAGACGCGATACGGCGGGAGGTCGTTATTTACCCAACTGTCGCTCAGCTAGTCAAGAATCTCCCTGCCATTTCTCAGAATCCTAAAGTTCATTACCGTGTTAAGAGACCTCCGCTGGTCCCTATCCTGAGCCAGATCAATCCAATCCACATCACCCCATCCTATCTCTCTAAGATCCATTTTAATTAATATTGTCCACCCACCTACATCTTCGTCTTCCCTGTGGTCTCTTTCCTTCTGGTTTTCCAATCAATATCCCATACGCATTCCTCGTCTCCCCCATTCGTGCTACATAACCTTCCCACCTCATCCTCCTTGACTTGATCATTCTAATTATACTTGGAGAAGAGTACAAGTTATGAAGCTCCTCATTATGCAGTTTTCTCCAACCTCCTGTCACTTCATCTCTCTCTTCGGTCCAAATATTCTCCACAGCACCCTCTTCTCACTCTCAGTCCGTCCTCCATTAATGTCAGAGATCAAGTTTCACACCCATACAGAACCACAGGCAAAATTATAGTTTTTTTTTTTTAATTATTTACTAAGATTAGTGGCCAAGGTTTGAATCGAGCCTGAGGCTACAAGTGGTTATTGGAGTAGCCTAGCGTTCAGGGCTTACGCACCATGTGCATGTTAATCAGGGGCGGGGCTTAACGTGACGTATGCAAAGCGCAAGATAAAACGCTTCCTCATGGACACAAGGAAACATCACATCAACGGGGCTGTTCCAGGAATGGCACAGAATTGGTTAACGTCTTTAATTTGTTTAATAATTTTATTGCATAAAGGGCCAAGATACAAGTCATTACTTTACAGAAGTAAGGAAATTTAAATTATCTTCTTGCGAAATGAACCTGTACTAAATTGGATTAAATTAACCAAACCTAATCACACCACTCAGGCCACTGTTGAAGTTCTAGTGTGGACAGGCAAGACACTGAAAGTGAACCAAACGGCCGCCTGGGTGGAATAATTTTAGGGGCAGCACATAATACAAACTTCTTTCTTCTATTTAAAAAAACTTAACATCTGCTGATGTTTTGTTTATATGGTGACCATTAACTGGCAGTAACGTAAACCGTTTATGCAGCAATTTAAACTAAAATTTTAATATTTTCAACATCAATGACAGATGCCATCATAACTAACGCCATTCAACTGAGTCATTCTGGGGAAGCCACCAGCTGCTCAAGAATATGCCAACATTTTGTGGAATCCGAAGGTTCATTACCATGTTCACAAGAGCCTGCCACTAGCCACTATCCTGAGCCATGTCAGTCCAATCCATGCCACCTCATCCTATTTGTCTAAAATAAATTGTTATATTATCCTCACACCTACGTCTGAATCTTACTAGTGGTCTCTTTCTTCTTGACTTTCCCACCAAAACTCTGCATGCATTCCTCCTCTCCCTCATGCCCTGCCCATCTAATTCTCCTTGACTTGATCATTCTAATTATATTTGACAAGAAGTACAACTTATGAAGCCCCTCATCGGTTATCGTCTTAGAGTTTAGAAGCTTCTTGCTATTAATTACGACTAAGTTTTAATACACTTTATATATATACATGTACGACCTCTGTGGTCTAGTGGTCAGAATTTCTGGCTACAGATCCAAAGGTCCCGGGTCTGATTGCCGGCGTTACCAGATTTTCTGAGAAGCAGTGGATCTGGAACGGGGTCCACTCGGCCTCCTGAGGATAACTGAGGATCTATTTCAAGGAAATAGCGGCTCCGATCTAGAAAACCTAAACTAACGGCCGTGGTGATTCGTTGCGCTGACAACGGCACAGCCTCTATCCGCTAAATTTGGCACTAACTTCACCGACAAGCGGCGATCGCTCGGGCGATATAGTTCGCTTGCGGGCTATACATGTATCCCTGGGGTCGACTCAGCCTCTAACAGAAATGAGTACCAGGAATCTTCCTGAGGGTAAAGGGCAGCCGGAGTGTAAGGCTGACAACCTTACCGCCATCTGTGAGCCGACTGTCAAGAGAAAATGTGGAAGCCTCGAAGTCTCACAAACCTATGGGCCTTCACTGCCTGTTACAGGGACAGCTTTACTTTTTTTTTGGGTTATATATATGTATTATCTGGGGGAGAATGAGATTTTTCATCTGGGGACGACACTCTTGATTGGGCTTTTCTTGATTCTAGAACACGTGGGACTATAGACCGCTCTAGTTTCTTGTGTGACATCACTACTACACTGCTACTGGGTTCGGTATGGCTTCGCAAGGCAGAGGATGTGAAAAGTTTCGTATGGTTTAGTTCACTTGTGACTAATGATATATCGTCACGTGATTTGGATGCTAAAGCCGGGTCCAGACTTGTTGCGTATCTCCGCTGCTAATCATCTGATGCAACGCTACAAAATTTTGCGTCCAGACTTGTTGCGTATCTCCGTTGCGTATCAACCGATGCAACGCGACAAAATTTCTCCTTCCAAGAAGGCAACGAAGAAATGAGGAGCTCAATCTCAGTTTCGAGCCAGATTTCAGTCAGCAGTGACTACACCTAACCTGAAGGTAGCAGCTTCCGCGTACGTCTGTCTTCACTGTGCTATAAAGGGAAGAAGAAAGAAATCACGACGTTTGTGGATATCACCGATCTATGCCAGTAGGGAAGTATACAATGGGTCCAATCTTTTGGCGGACTTAAATTTTCAGTCATTCAGTGGGATGTACAAACATTTCACAAGGATGCATCCGTCAGATTGTAATGTTCTGTGTTTCGGGGATTCCAAATCACGTCCCTCTTCTTACATTCGTCAATTAAATGCATAATGCTCTCCTTACTCCACTCCATTCAGAGTTTAAACAGAGAATCAAAAATACAAGAAGGCACACTGGTGATGACTACCCTCCAACTGTCTTTTGTGCGGAGCTAATAAGCAGAGCGGGATGCAGCCGCCTGCACATCCAGACTGGCACCACTGCAACGCGTGTCGTCCCTTTGATGCGACGGGAAAAGACCGCCAAGCGAGCGAACAGCCCGTTGCGTATCACCGTATAAACATCTTGCAACGGAAGGATGATACGGGGATACGCAACAAGTCTGGACCCGGCTTAAGACTCGGCGTGTGACCGGTGGCAGATCGACTTCGTGACGGGAGAATTGCGCCACCAACTTTCTAGTGTTTCGTGAGGTCTGTTTATCTTTTACAATGTCAAAATTAAGGTCGAACTTTAATACAGTCGATGCTATGCAAAACTTCGGAAAAAATATATCCAAGAACGACAACTCACAGCAGTTAAAATGATGTAGTACATTACCTTTAAGGCTTTGCAGGCCTTTTGTGAGTATGGGTTCAGCATCTTCTGGTATAATGATGGGCACATCAACAAAATGATCAAAATCCTTGACTGTGATGTACTTGATCAGTTCGGGGTCCCGCACCACATACGACGGTCGCAAGAAATCAAACATACCCGCAATCTTATGTCCGTCTAGCTGGTTATACACCGCAATCACATGGTCACACAGCGACGTTCTCCTCAAAACAAGAGACTTGACACTGCCGAAAAAGAAGGTCGGTTTGATATATGGCACGTTACGTTTGGTGAAATAATCATTATTCCCAGTTATGTAACGATAGGCAGTGTACAGACACGCAATTAGTCCAAATATTAGGGCTACAGTCACTTCTGATCCGAGCCACTTCACATCCTCTGAGCCGCCCATTGTGTGACGCAATATCTGTGTACTTGCGTGTGTTAACGATAATTCTTGTTGGCCTTGTTGTTCGAACCGTGCGACACATCCTGGCAGCGGCATTATTCAGAACTAAAGTTGGAGAGAGAAAAAAAAATGTTCAGAATTGCAGCGATGTTACATCATAACCGATAATAACATTGCACGTTTACTTCTGTCTCACACTTGTTCGACTAAAAACAACTGGACAGATTATATAGCACAAAATTTTGGACAGAATATGAAGAGAAAATACACTTGCAATTCCTGGGCATAACCATACTGGATGAAATATTTAAAATAGGCCTTCAAGTGGGATATGAGAGTACGGACTGGATTCTTCTGACTCAGGATACGTTCCAGTGGCGGCACGTCGTGAATGCGCAGATGAATGCTTTACTTCTGGAAAACGAGTGGAAACTCTTAACCAGATGGACTGATGTCAGCTTATCACTTTCTCAAGAAGGATTTTGTTTCGTGGAGTTAGTTCCAAAATTAAAAGAATTTCACCGATTTCTCCGCAGAGGATTCCAATCAAGTGTTTCTATAGTCCTGATTACAGGCAGAGTCGCACCATTTGCTCCTTATTAATGTTACATCCGAGGATCTCATAGCGGCGGTTATGAGGAGTTCTCTCCTTCCTGCCTGTTTCTTGCTAATTTCTTGTTTGGCTTATTTTTCGACCCTGAAAATGGAGCCGATATATTTCTCCGAAACGTTGTTTGACTTACACTGTGTTATATCCCGGAAGACATAGCTCTTTGCTCCTTTACAAACTTTTATATATTGCATAACAAGCTGTTCGTTCTACGATTCGCAACTTTAACCCTTTAAAGCAGAGTTGGATTACATGTATCAGCAGCTTTGTGCATTGAAATACTCTATATTTCGCTCATACAATGTTAAGTGCGGTACTGGCACGATTCTTGCATTGAACGGCGCGTATTTCCCTGTACACCTTTAACTTATCGATATGGGTACTGCAAACGCAACGCTTTCTGTGAGAGAAAAAGAGAATATTTGAATATTATTTAGTAGAAATTTGTGCTACAGGCTATTAATACCTATGCTTTTCACGGTATTAATTTTACAGATGTTTTGGCCCCATTGACTGATCGGGTCTGTACAAAGTGATTACGTGTACCAACAAGTGGTATTGTTCTGGGTTTGTGATATTGATGGCCACTTCAAATTAATGAAATAAATGACTATAACAGAAAACTGAAAGTATACACACAATTTGGTTACAGATTATTGAAGTATGTGTGTTGGTAGGACGTCCGCAGGACTCTGTTTGGCGTTTCATAACAGTAGAGTCGCTCAGGATGACGTAGTGCGTTGTGCTTCTTTCCGTGAATTATGTAAGGTTTGAAATTCCCTTAACTATTATTTGTTTCATTAATATAGCGGATAATCAGTGAAACCCAAAGAAGACTATGTGGATCCATGCAGTGCTAACAACTTTGCAGTAAGTTTCTTCAACAAATAATGAAGTCGATGGGCTAGTTTAAAAAAGACAGCAGATAGAAAATCGCATGTCAACACACACTAAAACAAAGAGTAGGTCTACTGCGATTAAAATATATCAATTTAATACATATTTTTTATATTATTGTAAATGGCAAGTCACGGATGAAGAAGAAACAGTACCAGACACACAACGACCCCGACAGAGTCCAAGCGACCAGCTATAAGAGAGCTCGGGAATTTTCCATGTACCATATGATAACATCTCGAGGGCAGTTCCACTACACCCAACTTGCCACCCGATTAAAGGGAAGATAATGCATACAAAGTTCATAGCATCATACCCATCTAGGAAGGAACCAGACCAGAGCGACCAATATACCAGCGAAATAACTAATAGATACAACTAGATATATATTAATATATACCAATATAATTGAACTAAAAAGTATATAATACCAAGAGTTTTGTTACCAAGCATAATACGTATATTATATATTATATAGTCGTATTCAAAATATGGGTTCGTATTAAAATAAGTTCAGGACCTAATCACAAACAATACACCTGATGATGATTCAATAAGGGTCGAAACATATCGTGTTTTTAACGTTTTCAGATTTTAATGTTAATAATCTATATTTGAGTATGTTTATAAGAAATTGTTGTGTCGACGGACGTAAAAATACTCAGTGTACATGACGCACAGCAGGATGCAACACGCAAGGAAAGAAGAAACAGCAAGTCCATTACGTCTGCTGTCCTGGAAGGAAGATCCTGGCCAGTGAAGTCCCATTCTCCACCGAAAAAGAAACTAACCCAAACCGCAGCCCTCAGCTACTGATTAATAGCAACTTGCCCACTTCAAACAGTATTGAAGGATGTTGCCGAAATCAGTACGAGGGCGCCAAGTTGGCCATGGCCGTAAGCAGACGGCAGTAGATGCGAATACCACGCAGGAACACTTTCTCGTTGAGGAACTCGTTGTGATCATGCATGCGCACGGGAGTGTTGCACATCGGAGCGAAGCCCAGGCTGGGCACACCAACCTGAGGACAATGAAACTGCTACACGACTCCTTCATTTGAAACACTTTGAAACACAAAACTAAGGTGATACAGTTATTCGTCCCACCACATTTCAGGTTCGCTTAATGTGTGTTTCGTTCAAGTTTTTGTTAGGAAAGTATGCTCACTTTTTTACGTATAGGATTCATGTTTTCCCAAATATAGCAGAATTGATTTTTATCTCATACTTACTTACTTACTTACTTACTCATGGAGTTGAGCCCTTCTTGAGTAGCCGCTAATTCTGCAGCTACTCAAGAATTTCCCAGCATTTTATGGAACCTGAAGGTTCATTATCGTGTTCACAAGAGCCCTCCACTGGTCCCTATCCTGAGCCTGATCAATCCAATCAATACCATCCCATCCTATTTCTCTGAGATCCATTTTAATATTTTCCACTCACCTACGCCTTGGTCTTCACAGTGGTCTCTTTCCTTCTGTCTTTCCCACCAATATCCTATACGCATTCCTCGTCTCCTCCATTCTTTCCTAAATAAATCAAGAAGTTCGTGTTCCTTGTGGTCGGTCTACAAAAAGTAAAGTTTGTTCACGCTAGAGCAATGTTCCAGTTGGTCTAAAGGCTCAAGCGGTAACGCTGCTTACTTCTATTTCATAAGTGTTAGCTTCGATTCTCGAACTGGTAGTCGAGAGTCGAAGCCGACTGTCTTTACTGAGTGGTTTTCCTCAGTCCCTTCATACAGAAAAAGGGAATTGTGTTTCAAATTACACGACGAACCCTTTCTTCTACGTTCTTTTCAATTAGTTATAACATTCATTCAATCTTTCGACGTTAAATTCGTTATTGATAACGTCGTTAAATAAACTACAAACTTATAAGAAGGAGAATAAAATTAATACGCTCTCAGTCACCGTGAACCAAGTACATCGAATTAAGAAAATATTGGTGCATTGAAATTCTTGAATTAAGAATATGCACAAACAGTATTACTAGTACTCGTATTTGTATTTCCAGTTCAACCCGACTTTCTAACGATGATGTTTTGGAACCTCGACAATTTTCTTTACATTGGAATGAATCTCTAAATTTGCCTCAAGTTCTTGAGTGGAAGGTGGGGCACGCGGTAGCGTAGTTGGTTGAGGCACTATGCTAGAAGCTGGAAGGTTGCAGGATCGAATCCAGATGAGGTCATTGGCTTTTTTCAATTTATCTAATCTTTCCAGACGCACTATGGCCTTGGGGGTCGACTCAGCCTCTAACAGAAATGAGTACCAGGAATATTCTTGGAAAGCTCTTGGGGGTAAAAGGCGGCCGGCGCGCAAGTCTGACAACCTTACCGCATTCTATGAGCCGATTGTCTAGAAAATGTGGGAACCTCAACATCTTACAACCCTATGGGCCTCCACGGCCTGTTACAGGAATGCCTTTACTTTTTTACTTACTCTTGATTGGAAAGACTCACCATTCGCAGGTGCCGACTATCCCCAGCAGGAGGGTTTATGATTGGTTGTATATTCAGTCCCCTGCAACACATTCGCCAGCGCACTCTTAACCACGGAAAAATATGACGTTACTGCCCTAATTAAGCGCTACTTCGTAAAGACGTGTGGGAGAGTGTAGGTATAGATCCACGCATTCTTTACTTCAGCATTAAATGGAAGTGAGTGGTCAGCTTCACTTTCAGGCCGCTTTACTGCCGGGGAAATAAACCCACCGAGAGTATGCACGATTTGAAGTTCTCACAGCGGTGGTTGTGCAAAGCTCTATCTTCTGGGATGTAATTCCATGTAGTCCGGTGGAAGTTAACCAACGAATGACCCAAGCAAGAAAGAAGCCTGCTTCCTGCTTTATGCGGGCTTATCTCCAACCCTGAAAATGGGGACATGTTCCTCCGCAACGTCGGTTGACTATAAACTGACTACACAACTCTTAATCCCAGAAGATAAAATTCATCCCCGACTGTAGGCTTGGTGGATCCCAGAGCCGGCTTTGGCCCAGAGGACAGGAGATAAATCTCTTATTCTCACCAGGAATCGAACCTGAGATCCAAGGTCGTCCTGTCAAAAACCTAGTTAACATGCCGGCTCTATTTTACCATTAAGCAAATAGAATCTGAGATGTAAAAACACCTTTAAAAACAACGTACTGAGGAGATTGCTGATCTGTTGAAATTGTGATATTCTGCATATATTTAATCATTCTGCAGTTCAAGGAGAGAAAATAAACGGAGAATGTAGCACTTATGAGAGAGCTAGAAATGTGCACAAATTTGGTAGGGAAACTTGAAAGGAAGAGAGGCGTAACCGGATGGGTAACATTAAAATTGTCTTAGAGATAACAAGGCATATGAGTGTGCACTAGATTCATTCTAAGTAGTTACTATAGGATTCTGACGGTGGTGTATAACACACTGATATATTGGGTTCTTGGACTTTATCCATCGTCCTGGTTTTTAAGATAACAAATAAAAACACGACGTTTCGGAAACTGAATCTGTTCCCGTCCTCAGGTGAAGGAAAACACCTATTCAGTTGGGTCCGTTAGAAAGAGCACTGGACCAATCCAGTGATTGAGGCTAGCTCTTTCTAACGGACCCAACTGAATAGGTGTTTTCCTTCACCTGAGGACGGGAACAGATTCAGTTTCCGAAACGTCGTGTTTTTATTTGTTATCTTAAAAACCAGGACGAGGGATAAAGTCCAAAAACCCAATATATCAGTGGATTCATTCTGCTCAGAATATGGGTCAATGGCGGATTATGACCCTTCGGGTCCCATAAATTTAGGGGACTTTTCTCTCTACCTGAAGGACTATTGGCTTCTCAAGGTGCACACTACTGCATGGAGTTACATAAGAATATTCTGTTGCAGAAATACATGAGAATGGTTTAACATGCTCAGAAGTTACCGGACAAGTGTTACTGAAGAAGAATGTTCAGGGCATCCATCCATATTGAAGGACAAAACACTGTTATCCTTCTGTTTTGATAGTCTTCGATGAATTTCCATATTTCTTGCCCTTTGACCCAAATAAAACGATTCACTACCGACAGGTAGAATGTGGAGAATATGGTAAAGGGAGCGGCCATATTCATGCCACTAGTGGGGTAAGGGAAATGAATATTGAAGGTTAAATAAGTGACTACAACGACAGGGAAATTCCGTGCTTACGGTTGCTTGTTTGTTCGGAAGTGGACCAATCGCAGCACACATAATTCTACGGTTACTTTCTGACTTGACCCCGTAGAAGAAATACTGTTAATTACCATTTCTTTTTTTCAATTTCTATGTTAAGAACTCACGAATTATTGCATTCTGCTTTGAAAACGAGCCACCAAGGATTGCTGTTATCTATGCGGGTTGGTTGAAAATGCGGATCCTTCTGCCTGAATGTATAGTACGTCTCTGGGCCAACTTCCTCGCACCATGACTGTAGCTTTGCTAGCATTTTCTCGTGGTCCTCCGTCACGGCCAGGCGGATGTCGAAGGTGACGGACAGCTGTTCAGGAACGTTACCCAAGGAACTGGCACCTCCCTGTGTTTACAGAGTTCGTAGAACAGTAAAACTGTCCCTAGCAAAAGGGCATTCCAGCAGGATACAAGTTACACGTACACACAAACACACATAAGCATGTAGTGTGCTCACACGTACGAACATACGAGTATATTTGTAGAGTAATTTAAGGCTATAGAGTATTCTTAGAAACGTGGCGAGGATACACATAAAAGGATCAAATTAGAAACACAGTGATTATAAAAGAATCAAATATGTTGAACTGAAGTAACAGAATTCAGAATAATACGAGTATACCTAATTAAATTCATGATGTTGAAGGAATCTGTGAGGTACTAACTGAATTTTAAATATAATTTACATGGACTTCATTCTTCAAAAAGATCACGTGTGAGGCATGCAGTTTTAATAAGCAAAACATCCCTTCAGCTATACCAAGCTCTATGAAACACAGATTTAGATATTTCAGAAATGAAATACGGAATAATTGGAACGGATTACGAATTTTTACAATCTTAATATAATCATTATTTTTACAGTGACCCCACTTATACCGACAAGTAACCAGTCCTACAAATTCTTTTCAATACAAGCCAGAAACGTGATTCTCTTCCCGTCCACTAGAGGCGCACATGTTGCGAAAATGGCGTCTAAAAAGGACATAGCAGTCTGTCATTCAGTACGCGACTATGAATTCAAGTAAGCATGCAGTGGGAGTTCCGTATTACCGGAAGGACCCACAGCAACGAAAGCCGATTCGCTCCAGATGTGAGGAGTGTGAAACTAATGGGTGCATCTACAGCAGGTATTCTGTTCCATAAGCGTTGCATCGTTTGACAATGTACTCAGTTAATAAAGACATGCTGGTGAAAGTCTGGGAAACACTGGAATATCGAATCGACGCCTGTCATGTGACTTATGGGGCTCATATTGGGTGTCTGTAGGGTGTGTAAGAACACTCCCTCAGTCTGTATGTGTTACACGGAAATCATTGTACTACTTTAACACTGGAGTATCGAATCGACGCCTGTCATGTGACTTATGGGGCTCATATTGGGTGTCTGTAGAGTGTGCAAGAACACCCTCAGTCTGTATGTGTTACACGAAAATCATTGTACTACTTTAACACTGGAGTATCGAATCGACGCCTGTCATGTGACTTGTGGGGCTCATATTGGGTGTCTGTAGAGTGTGCAAGAACACCCTCAGTCTGTATGTGTTACACGGAAATCATTGTACTACTTTAATTTACATGGCATTTTTTATGTTTACTTCATGTTTAATTACTTTGTACCTTTTCCAACTCTGATACCCACAACATTTAGAGAGCAAATAACCTGTAAAAGATCCATTAGTTTCTCCCCCTTAGACATACTGTCCAAAGAAGCGTTTCAGATATACTGGATGATGTTAAATACGGTGAAATACTCGTAAGGTGCGACTGAAATAATGTCTGTATTAATGAATATTCGACTTTTCAAGTGGATGTCGTGTTTCCCACTACAAGTGTCCGTCAACTTGGAAACAATAAATAGAAATGTATTTACAGCTAAGAAGCATTGAGTTTTGTTTACCTCCATCATGGTTAGATTGAGTGAAGTCACATCTCCGGCTCTGAGGCTTGGATCGGATTCGAGCTTCTCTTTCTGCGCCTGTCGGAATTCCATTGCCCTGTCCAGGATAACGCGAACCTTCTGCCCGGCAGTGTCATTCAGTGGCGTCGCTAGGGATCCCGTTTTTCCATAGCAGTGGAAGGTGATCTCTGTAGAGAAGATACACTCAGTACTATCCTCGTGTATTATAGAAACAGGTAGAGGTTGCAGTGTTACCAGATTTTCTAATTGAACTTCAATGTCGCAAGGCTAACACTGGATTTATCAGCTGTGTGATTTGGCAACAATGTTCACATATCCGCCATTATGATGTCTCAGTAGCAATATCTTTAGCTTGTCTGCGGAAAATCTGACACTTGAGTTTTTTGTTGTTTTTATTTTAAAAACGGGGTCACGCGGTAGCGTAGTTGGTTGAGGTATTATGCTACAAGCCAGAAGGTCGCTGGTTCAATTCCCGAGAAGTCATTGGATTTTTAGATTGATCTAATTCTTCCGCCGCACTATGACCCAGGAGTCGGCTCAACGTCTAACAGAAATGAACACCAGGAATCTTCCTGGGGTAAAGGGTGGCCGGCGCGTAAGGCTGAGAATCTGACCGCCATCTGTGAGTCGATTGTCTGCAAAACGTGAGAGCCTCGACGTCTCACAACCCTATGGGCCTCCACGGCCTGTGACAGGGATAGCTTTACCTCTTTATAAATAAAACTCACGTTCGATTAATTTTAACAACTGGATGAGCAATAAATGCAACATAGTGGTAAATTGGAACGTAGATTTTTGTGTATTCGAAAAACATATCCAAGCTACATATTTGCCTTGGTAATGGTGTAATAAAACAACATATTTTTTCCCCTTGGTACTACAGCCCCCGTGGGCCTAGGCCTACCTCCATGAACTTCTCCGTTCACTTCGGTTTTTCTAGATCTTAGACATACGGTAGGACTCCTTGGGCGGGTGATCAGCTCATCGCAAGGCCTCTACCTGTACGAAAACACAGAAGAACGCACACAAACAAATTAACATCCATGCCCTGAGTGGGATTCGAACCCACGATCCCGGTTTCCAAGCGAGCAAAAACAGTACATACTTTAGACCGCTCGACTACCGTGACAGGCAATTAAACAACATATACTGTTCACTTTTCAAGCATTCTTAATAAAGCAGAACTGGAACGCCTTTTGCGGAGGCCATGCTTGACCATTTACTTGTCTGTCTGTAGCGTTTTTTTTTATTGCTAGTGGGATGGGACTGAGTCCCTTGTACTGCGGCCAGTTCTGGCCTATTGTACCAACCCCAGATGATAGGTGAGGGTGATTGTGGAGCAATTGGTGGAATGAAGATTGGCAAGGGAAACCGAAGTACTCGGCTAAAACCTGCCCCAGCGCCACTTTGTCCACCACAAATCCCACTAGACCAGAACCGGGATCGAACCCGGGCCGCCGCCGTGGGGAGCCAGCGACTAACCGCTTGAGCTATGGCGCGGCCTTTGTCTGTAGCATAGTATCGACACTAAATCATTGGACAGATACGAGAAGCTAGCACTATAGTTTTCTGATAACACCGATTTTCATTCATATTTACCCATAATGAAGTCAGTTTTACTCAAGACCATAAAGAATGAAACGGACGTAAATAAGTTTAACAAACTGCAAAGAATATCTTTGAGAATTCTGAGTGCTACGTTATGGAGTACACCGTCTCCAATCTTGCTATAATTCCCTTACGCTGGCGTACATTCCATTGAGACTCACGCCAGACACTGCGTTCTCCGTATATGACCTGGATGACGTTCTCGGGATGCGCCAAACCTTCATCGAAAGCGAAGCCGATATTCAGGTCTCGGAACTTTTGAGAGAGAACAAATTTCTTCATTCCATCCTCCCCTCCGATCTCCTCGTCTGTAAAACCAACAAATTTTTGTCACCACTCTGCTCTACTGCATTAGAATATCCGCATATCTGTTTGTTTCCTCGTGTTTGCATTATAAGCTTACTTCTTGTAAGGTTGGTAAGTAAAAGTAAGAAAAAAATGTAAAGGTTTCCTTGAAATAGGCCGTGGAGGCACATGGATTTGTGAGATGTTGAGGCACCCACATTTTCTGGCCAATCGGCTCACAGATGGCGGTGAGGTTGTCAGCCTTACGCGCCGGCCGCCCTTTACCACCAGGAGGTTCGTGGTACTCATGTCTGTTAGAGGTTGAGTCGACCCTAAGGCCATAGTGCGTCTAGAAGTACTAGGTAAATTGAAAAATCCACCTAATCTGGATTCGATCCCGCGACTTTCCGGCTTGTAGCATAGAGCCTCAACCAACTATGCTACTGCGTGCCCCCCTTATAAAGTGTGTAATAGAAGATAAACAACAGTAAGAACACCCCTATATTCAGATTCATACTACTTTATACAGTTCAATGTACAGGAGTTTTGTATCATATAAAACCACTTTTAACTCTTGAAAAGAGTTTAAAGAAATGATCACTGTTCATTCTCAGAATCACATGAAACATAGGCGAAAATACCTTCTATATGTACAACACAGACTTTGTTAGTATTACTGTAAGTGGCAAGAATAGTAACTACTGTTCTAGAAGGGTTAAGTTACTAACACAGTTTGTAGTCTGCTTATGAAACTGGAACGCTCACTACTGGTTACGTACTAATAAAATATTTTGACTATGTGTGATGATAATGATGATGTTATTAATATTACTGACAACTAGAAAATCTGTAGTTACATAAGTGCTGCTTCGTGGTCTGCTACTACTACTACTACTACTACTACTACTACTGCCGCTACTACTACTACCACCACAACAAACTACTACTACAACTATTGCTACTACTGCTGCTACCGCAACTGCTGCTGCTATTCTACAACTAGTACTACCACTACTGCTGCTACTACTACTACGACCACCACAATAGCAAAAAACGACTACCACTACAACTACTTCCGTTACTACTACTACTACTGCTACTACCACCACCACCACAACACTCAGCTACTACTGCCACCATAAAATCTACGGCTACTGTTACTACTACTACCATCACAACAAACTACTACTACTACTGCTACTACGACCACGACGACCACCACCACAACAGAAACAACTACCACTACAACTACTGCTGCTACTACTACCACAACCACAAACTATTGCTGCTACTGCTACTACTACCACTAAAATTACTAGTACTACTGCTGCTGCTGCTCATCATCATCATCATCATCATCACGATAGTCTGCAAAAATTTCAGCTTGGATATTACCCAGATTAAAATAGCTGCTTCCCCCCGCAGGTAGGCATGTTTTGTCACAGTTGTGAGGGTTGCGTAGTCACATGATCCTGAGAACTATGCAGGCGGTAGAGTAGCTTCTGGTAGATCTCCCATGGCAGATAGATCGCAGATGATGATCCATCCTGGTCCTCCATGTTGGGGTTTGGGCATGGGCTGACTACCCAAGGATTTACGAATACAAGCTTAGAATGCGCTTGTCTCTATATAGAGGTGGGGCACTTCAACAGGGTATTCGACAAGTAGGCAAACCTGTTGTCAGGTCGTTGGATTCAGTTGCAGAAGATTTGAAGACAATGGGCCGTAGAAACTGGAGACGGAAGTCAGAAGATCAGGACCAGTGGAGAGCAATCGTGCAAGGGGCAAAAATTCATCATGGACTATAGGCGCAAATAAGAAGAGACATCTGCTTACATTCGTCTGACTTCCTAGACTATTGCAGTTCATAGTAAATAGACATGGTGTGCAGTCCTCACCGGGCATGTAAGAAATGTGAATAGTCCTTCGTACACGAATTCCATCAGCTTTCAACCTTCGAACGGTTTCCAAATACTGGATGCCTGCGCCTTTCGTGTCCTGGGCCCCTCTTCCGTAAATGTTTCCTTGTTCATCCTGCTCCGCTCCAAATGGCGGGTAAGTCCAATGTTCCTGCAGAAGCAACAAAGGAATGCACTCCTCCACTGTCTCACACTTCACAGCAACATTAATCTTGTGATTATGCATTAGATTTAGTCTCTGGCTTCACACCGGGGCGGCCCGGGTTCGAGCCCGGGGCTGGTCAAGTGGGATTCGTGGAGGACAAATTGGCGCTGGGGCAGGTTTTCTCCGAGTACTTCGGTTTCCCCTGCCAATCTTCATTCCACCAAATTCTTCATCATCATACTCACCCGGGGCAGGTACAATAGGCCAATCAGTGGCCACCGTGCCGAGTGGACCCAGATGTACTCCACCCCCACCATGCGAATTAAAAAAGAATGCATTAGATTCTGCCTTTGTTATAACTTACTCTTGATTATGGTTCGTTTTAGTTAGTTCTAGTTATTTTTCGTCAGTTTCATGACCGACCCCAGTTATGCCCTTGTGATCTCTAACGTCCGCTGTGCCAGTCCAGGTCACATCCGTTTCTAGTTCGCATGTCTGTCTTCACACTAGTGCTATAAACTACATTCTTCCGTCTTTTGAATTCTTGCGCCTATTGAAGGATCTGGAATACCGCAGTCGGTATAGCCGCTGACTACGGGGTTGAACGGCCGAGGGGTCGAAATTTGAATTCCGGCGGGGACAAGATATTCTCCTTTCCACCTCATCCAGACCGGCTCTGGGGTCCATCCAGCCTCATATTCAATGAGTATTTGGAACTTTCCTCCCGTGGATAAAACGACCGGGGCATGGAACTGACCGTTCACATCCAAATAGTGCCGAGGTCAAAAATGCGTGGATCTATACATTCACTCCACCATACGTCTGTAAGAATTATGGAGGGGAAATGGTTAAGAAGGACCTAGGCAGTAAACGGTATCATCTTCCGGAATGTAACATCTGATAATCTGATAAAATTTGATCGGTGTTTCGGTGGAACGCACTAAGTCCGTCTTCAGGGTCAAGAATAAACCAAGCGAGCAACCAGCAACAAACAAGCATCATCTTTGGTTGCTTCCTGAGCTTACTCTCTGTTCCTACATATAGAGGCCGCGCGTTTCAGCGAAGCGGAATGCATTGCAGTACATGTGAGAACAGAGAGCTTTCGACAGACATGGCTGTACGAATCTGAGACTTAACAAAGACAGAAACCTCAGGTATTTCTCTTCATTGTTCTGTTGAGGCAAGTTCCGAAACCATGACCTACATCCTGCAGACCTTTGCCTGTTGGTGCATCGAGCACAAAGTCTGTGAGTACACATGATAACACAGCACAGATGCCAATGAAAATATTATACCTTTTTTCTCAGCAGGATTCGAAACCGCCTTCCCACTATGCGACAGATCCAGGACCATAAACGACATAGACCCCAAGTTCTCTGTCATTGTCGTCATTCAGCTAATTAAAGGCCTTATTCAGAATGTGCATTATCTTAATTATTACCATAATTCGTGGACGAGTGCAATAGATGTATGTATGTATCTAGGGCTCAACAGCTCTTTGTTGGGTAGGACCCCTTGGACGAGGGATCAGCCCGTCGCAAGGCCGCTACCTGCACACAGGGCAGCAGAAACACAGAACAAACCTACACAAATATCCATGCCTCAAGTAGGACTCGAACCCATAATCCCAGCGCTACTGCGATCGGCTCAATAGATGAGTACAGAGCTGTAGTTTGTAGGAATGTAGAACTGTTTAAAGAAGATAAAAGCAAGAAACCTGATCACCTGATATCAGTTCGTCGCATTACTGTCGAAGAAGAAGACAATCAAGAAATAAGCATGAAGAAGACAGCAGGCAGAGCTCTTTACACATGATCACTTTGTAAGTGACTTTAGACTGTCAAGTTAGCACTTAGAGAAATAAGAACTGAGTTACATTTTAATATTTATCTTCCGGTATTTTTATATCACAGGATTTTTGTATTAAAGGTTACATCTGAAGATGAACTTTAAGCCTACACCCGTTATCTTATCAGGAAATGTGAGCTTGCTTCGTGTGGTCTCCTTTAACGGTATTTTCACGAACATCACGCCACGAAGCTCCAGCTTTTCATGCTTATTATATATATGTACTTAAATGTCTGCCGTTTACAGAACATTCATAAAAGTCATATCAGTGACGACCAACCAGCTGTTTACTTTATAGTCTACTTTCCTAAGAAGGCTTATGCTATCTCCGTGTTGTCTGTGTCTTTATGAATCCTCCTATTAACTTTTCAACTTCTTAACCAGTCTTTATGAAACTTCGTGTTTGTATCATGTCACCTGAGCCCTTCTCAACGGCGTAGTTTATAAATCCCTCTCATCAGTCTGCATGTCTGTATGTGTATTTCACGTATCGTTGCTAGGCAACGGCTGGGTAGACACGTACCCGTGGCAACGAAGAATTGTTGTAGGCGTCTTTTTCCATCCTCTGCATGTCGCATTAAAGGGTAGTAGGAGATTAGTTTTCCTTAGAACTTTTTATTTTAAATCACGACATGTTTCGATCAAATATTAATCTTCATCGGATGAACGTTTAAGAATAAAAACTGATTAACGAACTGCATACTGTATGTACATTGCGTTGTAAGCTGAATCCAGATCTAATGAGTTATTACATGTGTCCTGTGGTCTAGTGGTCAAAGTTCCTGACTACAGATCCAGAGGTTCCGGATTCGATTCCAGGCGCTACCAGATTTTCTGAGCAGTAGTGGGTCTGGAACGGGGTCCACTCAGCTTCGTGAGGACAATTGAGGAGCTATTTCAAGAAAACAGCGGCTCTGGTCTAGAAAACCGAGATTAACGGCCGTGGGGATCCGTTGCTCTGACCACGTTACACTCTGTGTCCTCTAAAGTTGGCACTAACTTCGCTGACAAGCGGCGATCGCTCGGTCGGTATAGTTCGCTTGCGGACTATAGGCCACGGTGTTTGTTTTTGTCATGCATATAATACGTAAGACATAATACTTACAGTCTAAATTTAAAGATATAAAGGAAGGTTTAGCTCAGTCAGTTTGGGCTGGACGACTGAGGAAACGGAGTTCGGTTACTGGCAAGAGTAAGAATTCTGTTATTCACAGTGCCCAAGTTAGTTCTGGGGCCTACCGCAGCCTGCTTTGTAAAAAGAGTCGGGGAAATTTTTCGTTGGCATTAACGCGACAAGGGTATGAAGCTCATCATTCATTTCCATCTAGTGCCGAGGTGAACAAACGCATGGAGCTACACCACCACTTCATCCTACCTCTTCATGCAACGATAATTAATTAAGCACAAGGAAAACTTCACTTTCGCTATTAATATGGACAAACGATTTTGATACATTCACAGGAGTTAGTTGTATGGGTGCAGTTTCCAGAATTGTGTGTGGTGATTGATTTTCGAGGAACAGTTAACATTTTTAAAGGTGGAACGTCTCTACATTGCAGAACATCGATCTCCAAAAAAGAAACCTGTATTTCATTTTATGTTTCACGTTCATGGCGCTCCATCCATACTCGTTTCCTTCCGGAGGAAGATAACAGAAGTATGTAAGCATGTGGTATGGAGTTCCTTCGCTTCAGCTATTAAGATGGAAACAGTACTATGGTGAAGAATTTTGAGATATCTGGCAACACTGTAGCAAATTAAATTTACACTGCCGATATGTCATTAGTTATACATCGACGTTTTCATTACCGAGACTTCGCAGCAGAGGACAGTAGGATGATGATGAATTTGAAAGAAACGGTCGTGACCTATTTGAGATACTATTCCGGAGTTTGCCTTGAAGGACTGAGGAAAACCAAGAAATACCTTAATAAGGATAGCCGGTGTTCCGACCTTAGTTCGAACCGAGAATCACCTGAATACGTGTTTATAATGTTACCTCTAGGGCCTAGAGGTAATGCTACGAAGTCGTCTATAGTCTAGACCATAGATATTCATAATTAAATTGTAATTACTTATTAACCTCCTTCGACCCTACTGTAAGCTTAGATATGCGAGGGAGAGACAGTCACTACGTCACAAATGGAAGTACAGCAGCAGTAATGGACGTGTAGGTTTTCTGTGTGTATCACTAGATGGCAGCACAGCCTAGAGAGCTACAGAGGGCCGGATGGGCATTGCTTAGGCAATTTTTGTATATGCATGTATTTTCTTTTTCAAAATAAAAAGCCTAGGTAGCAGACGTGATAGGTACAACATGAGTCATCTGATGTGTTACTTTCGTGCGTTGTTCTGCATGTACACATAAAATTTTGACACTAAGTCGACCTGACAGAATCGTTGCATGTCGTGCAGACGAACTGCCTAGTTCGAAATTACTGTAACATCATTTTAATTATACAACTTTTTTTATTGACGGCTTTATTTTGTTCACTGGCATTGCTGGACGAAGAAACATGAATGAATTAATTGTGTCATCAGTCACGTGTTTAGGCTATTTCAAGGTTTAGCGCCAGTTGATTTCTTTTTAGGGGGAGGGCACGCGGTAGGGTAGTTGGTAGAGGCAATATGCTACAAGACGGAAGGTCACGAATTCGATTCCCGATTAGGTTATTGGATTTTTCAAATGACAAAATTTTTCCAGCCGCATTATGGTTCTGGAGTTGTCTCAGCCTCTAAAAGAAATGAGTATTAGGAAGATTCCTGGGGGTAAAGGGCAGCCGGTGCATAAGGCTGACAACTTCACCGCCATCTGTGAGCCGATTATATAGAAAATATGGAAGCCTCGAAAACACTATGGGCCTCCACAAACTGTTGCAAGGATCGATTTTCCTTTCAACTTTGATCTTATTGTGATTTAGAAACTCCGGGATATGCTTAGAATTGTGGGCGTCATACTAAAGGGCCGATGCTATGCCCTACCTTAAGCCACTTGAACGCATTTACAGCTTTAAGATCCATTTGCTAAGGCGCATTCTTAGAAGAAATGCCTGTAAGATTGCGCATTTGATATTCGTTGCAAAATAGTCTTCTAAAGACAAAATATTTAATTTTTGTAACTCTTTTGATGTGTTTTTTATTCCTGAGGATGGAAAGTTTTGTTTAATAAATACAGTTTTTCAGTGGTCATAAAAATGATGTGTTTATGGACATAAATATATTAAGTGCCCAATCTTAAGTGCCTTTACCCTACTATCTTTCCATATATGTGAAGGTTTCACAGGCAGAGGGCCTGTCCAACCAGTATGTAAGAAACACAGAAACAAACGCACATCGTAGACAGGTACGACGTCCATGTGTGAGTTGAGCAGGATAGAGGGCAGGCCAGGTTCTTCCCCGAGCCACGTGATGATGACGATAGGTTTTCCGGCCGCCAACTCGAATATTTGTATGGGCAGATCCAGCTCCATCGCCTGGCGTCTGAGGAAAGCCACGCACTCATCTGAAACAACGAGCACTGTACGGCCTCAGGGAGAGAATCCGAGATAATGGCTCCCTTCCCCTGTTCACATATTCACATGTGTTGTAAACGCATTTGGAGCCGTATAGAATGATAATACTCGTGAGTAACAACGCGATTCTGTTCGGTTTAGTTAATTTAGTACTGAACGTCCCATGGAATTCAACGTAAATTAAAATATTAGTAGAAGAATAATAATTTATATATATAATTCCATAGAGAAACTATTGTCAATACAGTAATTAGCGCTTGGGTTTCAGAAAAGATGGCGAATTTCTTGAAAAGCCGAGTCACTACGCTAGTTAACAAAGTTTAAACTATGTGACTATATGTTGTTTATTCATAAAATAAAGGTAATTTCATTCGTTTACGATAAAAATTTTATTAGTTACAGAATTTTTATTAACACTCTTGAAATTACTTACACAAACGTTTAAATTGCCGCCAGCATCACCCCCATACCGTTTAAATACCAGGAGAATAAAGGGTTAAGCTAACGAAAGAAAATCGAATTTTCAGAATTAATTCTGCTATTCTGATTCTAGTTATTAATATGAATTTTGCCCCTCGTCCTATTTTATTGTATTTTGAACAAAATGACGTGTTTCTTCTTATTGTTCCTGTAATTTTTATCGACACGTTCCCGCCCTCTACTTCCGTCCCGGCAGGCTTAAGGGGAGAGCCAGTGGTTTCTTCTTTTGCCATGACTTAGACGTATAATATCGGTAACAAATCCTTTTCAATACTCCGGCTTTGAACTTTAATTTGGGGCGACAGCTCGTCCCAATAAATCTAGCATCACAATACATAGACATATGAAAGCCAACATTTATGCTTCCAGCATAATTCGCACCAATAATCTAAAATATACTTACTTGTATACAATTCGCCGTGTAACACAATGTTTACTTACCATAATTAACGTCAGGGTGCACAGATGGTATGCGTAGATACTCTCTGAAATTCCGCACTGCCATCTTGTCGAGCTCATATTGAGTCAGTTCCATGTTGCTTCGACTACTGATGGATCGAGGTTCCCGCAGTATGATCATGGTCTTAGGGATCTCTGACCTTGTCGTAGATGTGTCTTTGCATTGTTACTGTTTGAATCATGTCTATACCATGTGAGAGGGCAAAGGTACTTCTCTCTATGAGTAGAACTTGCACTACTAGAGCCCGGACAGAACGCACACCCCAGATCTCAGCAAGTCAATAATCTAAGCCAGCCGTGTGAAACATGCGGCCCGCGGTCCGCATACGGCCCCCATAGCCACAAAGTGCGGCCCCTCAACTTTTAGAGCTAATTGATATTAAAATCAATATTAAAATTTTAGTAGAAATATTTTTTGTAAAGACAATTTTCCAACAGACCAAAAGACAAGAAGTCTCACGCAGACATAAATTAGCAGGCTGCAGGAAATTCAATGTTTTGCTATTTCTAACATAATTTCTTGTGTAATCTCCCTTTTTACATATTGAAAAGCTGTTTGATACTTGTCAAAAATGACATTCTCTTGCTTTTTAAAACTGTAAGATATGTGACTTTAGGTAATTATATTGAAATTATTCCTAAATAATAAATAGAATTAAATTTCCTTGTATCAAAATCTATTGAATATTTCTATTTTGAAGTGCGGCCCTGGGCTATTATTTATAGGGCTGAGGTGGCCCTCTGTACAAGTTGAGTTTGACATGCCTGATCTAAGCCATTTGAAGTACAGTGGTTACTTTACGCACCGCTTGCTTCAGCGTTAAGAATATTCTGGGTTTTGTCTAGAGAGTTTATTTGTGGATTTCATGTGAATCTCATAATATACAATGAATATTTTCCTAAACCCATCGGCCAGTTTGTCTCTCAAGACATCAGTTTCCGGGGATATAATAACATGAATCCTGTTGAAAGTAAACAGATGATTCGGAGGAACAGATCGATTCCATTCTCAAAGTTGAAGAATAAGCTGCTTTCTGCCTGCTTTATGCCAGTTTCTTGTAAGGCTTATTCTTCAACCCTGAAGAAGGAAGTGGCATGTCCCTCTGAAAAGTTAGATAACTTTCAACTAACTACACGACATTTGGTATAGTAGTCGACATAGCGTCTGGATACGGGCTGGACGACCGAAGAAGGGTCGGATTTCGAGTCCCAGCATAGTCAAGAATTTTCTGTTCCTTACGTCGTCCAGATTGGCCCTGGGGCCCGCCCAGCTTCCCATGCAATGGGTACCGGGGGCTATTTCCCCAGGAGTAAAGCGACAGGGGCGTGAAGCTGACCACTCACCACCAACTAGTGCCGAGTTCAAGAAAGCGTGGATCTATACATCCAATTCCCCTTGCGCTTTCATGAATTAGTGCTTAATTAGTTAAGCACAGGGACTTTTATATGACATTTTATTCCGCAAAATAGAATACTTAAAAAACACTGGTGCGATAACAACGAATACCATACAGCTGTCCTCTGTAATGGAGGCGTGCGTGAGGCAAGAATTTCCCGATTAAATGCCGTTTAGATTAAGTTCCTGCTTCAGATGGTTAACACTTGTAGTGATGTTTCCATTTCCAATGTGAGGCTTTAGACTTATCGGTTTGTTTAAAGACGATTTCTCAGCCCAGTTTTCTGCGTGTAAAATGTCATGGGGGAAATCGACTATACGTGATGAATGACGAAGGATATTCAAGTTGAAGAAAGCAGTCTTCTGTGTTGTGGCGCCTTGTAGATATGTGTTAACTGACGTTTCGGAGGAACGTATCGCCTCCATCTTCAGGGTAGAAGAAAAGAGAAGAAAATCTTATTTTTTCTTCTACCATGAAGGTGGAGTTAATACGTTCCTCCGAAACAACGTCGGTTAACACAATATCTACACGGCGCCACATCCCAGAAGACTGCTTTCTTCAAAGTTACTGCCGTGAAAACCTCAAATATTCCATAATATTCAAGTTAGTCATGTTGAGAGTTTAAGCTACCACATCAGAATTTATGAATTTATTTCTGGATATTCTATTACGTTCTCATTTTTAGATTTCTTCCAAGATGACGAACAGTAATTTGTAATTCGCACTGGTACGAAGGTATTTGTTAAGGTGAAATGTCTCTCGGCCGGTCACGGTAGCCGAGCGGTCTAAGGCATGCACTGTCTTCGCTCGCTCGGAAGCCGGGATCGTGGGTTCGAATCCCACTCAGAGCATGGATGTTTGTGTGCGTTATTCTGTGTTTATCTACAGGTAGAGGCCTTGCGACGAGCTGATCTCTAGCCCAAGGAGTCCTACCGTATGTGTAAGATTAGAAAAACCGAAGTGAACGGAGTTCATGGAGGTAGGCCTAGGCCCACTGGGTCTGTAGTGCCAAGGACAAAAAAAAAGTCTCTCGAATAGAGCTCTGTGACTTGTGAGCTGAGTAAATATTTAACTCCCTTGTCTGTATGATTTAGACATACGACTAGGGAATTTTCCATATAATGGTGTCTGAACATTTTTATCTGTTGGAATGGAACATAATGCCACGTGTTAGAGTTGTGTCTATTAGACAGGGGTATGGATTGGATGATTAGGTTTATTGACACCTTATGCATACCGCTCGGAACTACAGACAATTACAGCGCTATCGCTAATCCCCTCACTTTACAGTTCAATGCTGCAAACACTAATGATCTCAGTCTGTTTCACTCTCCAATATCCGTTTCTTGGTAACGGATTTTAACACAGGAACTATAACAGCTTCACCGAGTAACACACTCCAAATATGGCGGTGCTATAACAGACGTAAAGTCTTCTCTTCACAGCCAGACTTCCAACTCCACTGAGCTGCTCTCAATAATAATGAGCCTCAATTCCTCAATTCAACTCCCCTGCTCCCAAGCTCATAATCTGGCAGGCTGGAGTATAGAAACTCAACTGAATACACCCCCATTTCTTCTGTCATCTTCTATTGCCATCTCAAGAGACTCCCTCAATTTTGTTTCAGCAGATACTCGTTACATAGCCTCGGGGCGGCCCCAACAGAAAACACCGTTTCCTAGCAATTCCTCTATTGTTATAGAGATGTGTTTACCTCTCCGTTGGATAGAAAACATAGTTCTATTGCTGCGTGTGTGTTCGTTTCCGTGAGAACCTGTTTACCAAATCGTTGCCTAGCGATGAACGTCCAATTTGGCTGGTCTATTTCGGTTTTCAGGCGTCCTGTCACAATACAGTAATAGGCCGAGAGAGAGAAGAATTACAGGAACTTTGATATTAAAAGCAAAATTTCAGTTACCATCAGCCCAGTTGCTTTTCCCATGGATCGCACTGTATTTATGTTTACATTATTTTTATATGGTTATAAACTCAACATTTTATTTCATATCTCCAGCACAGTACGTGTACATTGCTACCGTAACACTATCATTTCATCCAGAATAAAAACTAAATCTTCCTTTCTGCGTTAACTTTCGTAGTTTGTAAGTCTTGTTGATTTCAAAGGGTTCTGACAATGGTGTAAAATACTTAGAATTAGCAGGTCTTTGGACTTCGTCCTAGAAACTATAAAACATAACGTTTCGGAAGCTGGATCTGTCTCCGTTCTCAGGTGAACGGGGAAGACACCTACTGCCGGGTGCCTTGTTATTTCTCTCCGAATTAGCATTGTCTCAGGCAATTAAATAGCTGTAGTGAATCTGGTAGGGTTTGTCCAGCGATTGATGTTAGCGCTTTCTGAGCAATGCAGAAGGAAACAAATCAAGTTTCCGAAACGTTGTGCTTTCTAATTTCTAGAATATCGGACGATGGGCAAAGTTCTAAAACCCAGTAATTTTTAAGTCACGTTGCATGACAGTATTCTTCAACCAAATTTTTTTGGTCCTTTCAAATTCCGCCTCCAATTTGACGTAAATCTCTCACTTTTATCACTGTTACGTTCCATTCGATCAATACCTCCAGTCCATTCTACTCCCATGTTATTAATCTATTTGTTTATAGGTTAATAATTTCCTATGATGGGACTTCTAACTTTATGACTTAACGAATCTTGCGGGATCTTTCATAATACTTTCAACTCTTTGGTTTCACTGATTTTCTTAGTCGTTCGTGTTTCAATTCTGCTTTCACGGGCATGCTACTACTGACAAATAAACATATTCTTGTTGGTCGAAATCAAAATTACGAATCAAACAAACTGTGCCAGCAGGATACCCGGCTGTTTAAACAGCGCCATATGTAACAGCGGGAACACAAACAAAACATATTTGAAAGTTATAAGAATAGGAAACATAAATTTATGTATTGTTTTGTGGGAGCCACCCACATTGAATCAAGGGCTGGTTGATCAGCGGGGACCACGGCAGCTCCAACGTCCAATGGTTTGCGCGCGGTTAGTGACAACGTACCTCCGATACGCTAGTCGTCAATTGCAGTCTAAGAAACATCCATTGCTACGCAACGGCTCAATAATCATGTTTCTGTGGAAACAGATTGGCGACTAACGCGTCGGAAATTCGCATCTTTATACGTTGCCATAACAGCGCGCGAAGCAATGGGAGCTGGAGTTTCAGTGGTCCGCGCTGATCGGCTAACCTTTGATTAAATGTGGGTCGCTCCCACAGTGTCTTAGAAGTAACGGATTCGAGATCGCTAGTCCTCCTTTCTTCTTCAACGTACAATAAGACGCATGTACGTATTTTGTGTTCAGATTGTTTCGACCCATGAGATCGTTGATCCCAAGTGTTCCGTGCGGTTATCGTTGTCCGGTTTCTTCTGTTTCTTTTGTGTCGGGTAGTGTATGGGGGGCAGGTTTGGAACTTGCAGTAGGTACTGTGTTAGAGGAGTTGATGGCAGCGAGGGGTATGGTTTCACAACGGACAAAGCTGACTGTTGTCTCGGTACAGTCTCCGTTACTCCTGGTGCTATACTTTTCACTTGCTTGTAGTAACTGTGAACCACCAAATGGAAGTAGATATTCATACCTGTAACGGATGAGAGTGTATATTAATCTGTGAGAATGATTATAGTTTCAGTTGTGCAACAGCTAAAAATATGAAAATTCTCCCTTTACGCAGTTGAGTTCCACGCCATGAAGACCTCAGTACTAGATAGAGGTCACCGTTACACCCTTGCAGCATTATCCCTCGTGGAAACAGCGCCCGGCACCCATTGAAGCTGGGTGGGCCCCAGATCCTGTCTGCATGCTGTGGAGTAGAAAATTTTGCCCCTGCCTGGGAACGAACACAGGCCGTCCAGCCAGTAGCCTATAATACAGACTGAGCTATATGTGCCTATAAAAATATTTTATTACTTTGTTTAAGGGTGTTTAACAATGGTGTTTGTCCCTCAGAATATATATTATCAAAATATTATTAAAGAATAATAAGTTGGAAATAATGTGAAAGAACCGATTGTGGCTTAATTCGAGGTAACATATCAACATTTTCCAGAAAGGACTGAGGAAATCCACGAAGATCCTGTCAGAATGGCCGGTCTCCGGGCCGGAACTCGTATCCAGTCATCTCCTGAGTACAGGAAGGGAATGCCCCCCATCCGACTATCAATGCAGTGAACTTGTTGAGAGAACTGTCCTCCGGCTTGTCAATAAATTTCCCGCCTTTTTGGAATTGTTTATTATCGTGTTTGTAGGAGGTCAGAATTGTTCCATGTCCTGAGCCAATTATAAAAATTACCATGTTCCTATCGTACTGATTAATTATAATACATAAATCATAGATTTCGGTTAAATATAGCGTTCATTTTAAAATAATTAAAAATATATTAAATGATTAGACGTTTCGACAATTTTTATTCGCCATCATCAGACCTTTATATTTTAAACATGGGAAGGAAGCCAATTGAATCCATCCACACGCTAATACGTTATTTCTCTAACATCGGAGAACAAACTTCACCGATTAACATGATACTAATATTATTTGTTCGAGGTATTCATCTCGCGGCCATTTATATGTTTGAAATAGATTGATTAAGCCATGACCGGAATTCAGGGTGACGGAGTTCCGCACAAACTTTTTAGGTAGGCTTAAAATATGTGTCAGTCCTGAAACCACGTACTCGCTTTATGTTCACGCATCTGCATATAACAGGGCTGAGATTTCGCAAGAGTCTGCTAATGTAAACCTGCTCTAAGTTCTGACGAACTATTTTCATTTTGCTTTAGAGTCGTTAAAGGACCGCTTCTGTGGTCTAGTGGTCAGAGTTTCTGCCTATATGTCCAGAGGTCCCGGGTTCGATTCCCGACGCTACCAGATTTTCTGAGAAGTAGTGGCTCTGTAAAGGGGTCCACTAAGCCTCATGAAGATAATTGAGGAGCTATTTCAAGGAAACAGCTTCTCCGGTCTAGAAAATCGAAATTAACGATCGTGGGGATTCGTTGCGCTGACCATACGATATCCTCTACCCGCTAAAGTTGGCGACTTCGCCGACAAGCGGCGGCCGCTCGGTCGGTATAGTTCACTTGCGGACTAGAGGCAACGGATTTTTAAAGTCGTTAATTTTGAGAATATTACATAAGAGCTTCAGAATGTACTTCTTTCGACAAGTTCTTATGGCATTTGATATGCAACTTTTATATCAGTACTAATACGTCTCATTCGCACGATTTTTTAAAGCTTTACTTTAATTAATTAGTCGAGAATTGTGCCCACTTTAAGGAAACCACTTAGAACCATAGGAAGGATACATTAGAATTGAAAACCCAAGGTGCTAGTAGAAGAGAATGACCGTGGAAAACATGGAGAAAGACAATAGAAGAGGAAATAACAGAGATGGGAAAACCTGGAGAGAGGCATCGGAAAACCAGAGGAGAAGATGGAGAAGCTTCACAGGAGCCCTATGTTCCAGTCGGAACTAAAGGAATTAAGTCAAGTCATGTCAAAATTGCGCCCAAGGACATTCGCCGAACAAACTTAATTCACGAACCCTAAGCGATTTTTACATTATTATTAATTTGTACATACAAAGTCAGTAGATATTGTGAGGGCTATGGACTGAACGGTCCTAGTTAGATTCCCGGCAAATCAGAATTTTTCTCTCTCGACAGCGTGCAGAATGACCCTGGGGCCCACCCAGCCTTCTCTCGAATGGGTATCGGGGGCTCTTTCACTGGCAGTTTAGCGGACGTGGCGTGAAGCTGACTACTCACCTCTATCTATTGCCGAGGTCAAGAATGGTGAAGCTATACCAGCACTCCCCCATGCGTTTTCATGACATAGAGCTTGATGAATGAAGAACAAGGACAGTTTTACCTTGCACACACGTAAGTACGAGTACGTCACAGAAACAGAGTCAGATGTAAGTTATTCTGACAGCTGTGAGGTGAGCACATACGAACCGATGTTGATGGGCTCCGCGAAGTGTGTCCAAATGTAATCTGAGTCGAACTCGATATAAACGGCTAGTACAACTGCGCTGACGAAGAGAAAGCTGCTGAAGATCAGGTCAATGGTACACAGCACCATCCACGGGAATATGAGTTTGGGTTTGCTCTGAAAAATAATGTGGAATTTACGATTTTCTTTCAGATCGAGAGAGTTATTTAAGAACTTCGATCCTAATTGATTATCAGAACATTGGGGGTTTTCTTAATTACTGCTTATTTAATCCGTTCCTCTTATACCCTAAGGTGTCCAGGTTGCTCTCTTTTTCATTTTGATCATTTTACAGATGGTAGGACTGCTTGGACGAGTGATCAGCTCGCCGCAAGGCCTCTGTGTAAACACAGGACCACACAAACACAGAATGAACACATACACATACAAAACATTCATGCCTTGTGTGGGATTTGAACCCACGATCCCGGCTTTGAAGAGAGCGAAGACAGAACATGAGTCGGACTGCTCGACTACCGTGACCGGTGTGGGTTTCTTAGCACACTGAAATATTCTGTAGAAGTTAGAATGAAATGTATGTATTATTTTACTAAGTTAACGTCCTATGGAGGTTTGTGTGCCCTGATCATCTGGAGAGCTATATGCTAGCGGGAGCGTGAGCTCTTGACTGGATCACTTAAGCTAGACGGGCCAAAGGGTAGGTCCCAGATGAAAGGAGCCCCTGGTCCTCTAATTTATAAGCCGGACGTCAGATCAAGAACCTAACTAACTTCATGGAGTTGAGCCCTTCTCGAGAAGCCGTCAGTTGTGCAGCTAGCCAAGAACCTACTACCAACATTTTATGGAACCCGAAGGTTCATTACCGTGTTCACAAGAGCCATTTGCCGGTCCCCTGTTATGAGCCAGATCGATCCAGGCCACCCCACCCCACCCTATCTCTCTAAGATCCATTTTAACACTGTCCACCACCTACTTCTTGGTCTTCTTAGTGGTCTCTTTCATTCTGGCTTTCCCACCAATATCATATATGCATTCCTCGCCTTCCCCACTCGTGCTACATGCCCTGTCCACCTCATCCTTCTTGATTTGATCATTCTAACTATACTTCGAGAAGAGTGACAATTATGAATCTCCTAATGATGCAGTTTTCTAGAACCTCCCGTCACTTCATCCATCTTAGGTACAAACATTCTCCTCAACACCCTGTTCTCAGGCACCCTCAGTCTGTTCCACCCTTCCCGTCTCTCCGACTGAGAGCCTCAACTCTTAAAGCAATATGTGTTAAGAAACGCGACAGTAGACGCCGAGCGAAATGAGTATCTGTCAAGGATACCAAGGCTCTTGCAATAAGTAATTATCTTTTTAATATTAAAATTTTGGTCAGAAACCTGGAAGTGGAAAAACATTTTAGAAGGATAATAATAAAATGACTCTAGAGAAATAGGATATATGTTTGTAGATTGGATTTATCTGGCTCAGAATACTGATCAGTAGCGGGCTCTTGTGAACTTTTCGTGTTACATAAAATGCAAGAAAATTCTTGAAATATGAGCGACCATCAGCTTCTCAAGACAACTTTTATTCCATGAAGTTGATTACCTAGCTGAATCATTTTACTTACAGGAGTTCAGTGTTGTTATTATACATAAATTTGGACCCAGTGTAGGTATACACTCAGTTCTACTTTATCAGTAAATGTAGTTTATTCAAGTTTAGTCTGATACGCGCAGAGATCGTTTTATGCTTGTGAGTATTAATCTGTGGGCACAGGGATTTGAAGATTTTCAGTATAAGATCGTTCTGTCTTTTCATTTCCTTCCATTTTGACAGAGTTGAAAACGGCTTTTCAGTACTAGGTATTTATTCAAGATCCATTTAAACCCCCGAATAAATGAAGAAGTGTCTACGTATAAAGGAATGAACTACAAAGCAGGTAAAAAGAAATTGTTCTACATGTATCGATGTTGGGAACAAAAGTTATGACGTCAAAGGCACTTTATATAATTTCGTTAAAAGAAAGTATCGCCATAGAACTACCAGAAGAAATCTGGCCGTCTCAGCGTACTGGTTAGTCCTCTCTGTCTCATGGTTGCCAGAATATCATATAATACATAATTTATAAAACAAAATTGTATCCATCGCCTTCCCGTTAATAGCTGGCCGTATGTAATATAATGTATAAAGCGATCTATTTCGTACTTACACGACTTATTAACATAAACAACCGCTGTATTTTATAAACTAAATTTAATTATAAATTAATTAGAAATATTATTTACGGTAGCGTAGTTGGTATGTATTTGTCAATTTAGTGAGTGTAAATTTATTATAGTTGACAAATACGCACTTTTTAAATACTTTTTAAATGGTTTTGTGAAGACCTATGAGGGCAAGCAATGAAATAGATTAGCGTAATTAGGACACCTGATGATGGCACTATGTTGCCGAAACATGTCGTGAAGTAACAGGTGAAATTGAGTGCACTACAAGACGGCCACTGTATACATATCATGGATGAAAATCAGTGCAACAGGACGCTAAAATACAACATCATTTCTCCAATTTAATCTTGCACCTGGGGGGTGTAGGCCTTGTGCAGAGTTGTGTGTTCGGATGGCATTTTCTGTTCTTCAGACCTTATGGAAGAATTTCTGACTTAATCTATCATTAGTGCGACTCTTAATATAATACTTACATCAAATACTCCCTTCAAGAGCAAAATGTTGCTAACTATTTCTGCCCCTTTGAAGACAGCCATGATAATGCTTGTTATTTCTATAGCTGAGGGAAAAACATAAGAAGGGATTATAACATTGTACACAGATATTGCACTTCAGTTCTCAATTAAAATTAATATTGATTTTTGATAGATAAAAATACTGATCATCAATCTATTTACAATCTGTAGACCTACAAATTTATTTCAGTTTCTTCACTCACATTTGCATTTAAGAAAAGGTTTATCTGGCACTTTTCTGAGAGTAATTAACGACGTACAGTTCTTATTGAGAAGCTAATTGTCACTCAGCTAGCCATGGAATTCCTCGCCTCTTATTGAATCTAAAGGCCTCGAACAGCACGCTACTGCCCTTGTCCTGAGCCAGATAAATCCAATCAATATCCACATATTCTATTTAAATGCCAGATTTATATTTTCCTACAAACTACTCCTAATTGTTCCAAGTTGTTCTTCGGTTCAAGTTTTCCGGTCAAAATATTGTATGATTTCCTCGTGTCTCCTAAGCGTGCTACATAATGCTCCCATCTCATCACCCAAGATTTGATCATTCTGACGATATTTGGAATAGGGCATATGTTATGAAGATCCTCGATACCCAGTTGTCCCCCATCTTCTTCTTCTTTCCTCTTCTCTCATTCCTCACATCCTCCTCAACACTTTGTTCTCGCTCTCATTCACTTCTCTTGGCCGAAGGACGGACTTTTTACCCTTATGAAATACAGTGTGAAATTAGGATTTTTTTCTATTTTAATCTTTAGGTACTAGAATACACGATAATTAACATCGAAATATGTTAGAAGAATATTTTTAATAAACACGGAAATATTAACCCCATGAAAATTTCGAGACAACCAACCCCAATCACAATAAAGATAGACCAAAAACAACTGGAGAATGTGAAATGTTTTAAATATTTGGGTAGCTTCTTAACAGATAATGGAAGATGTACGTCTGAAATTAATCTAGGATTGCCATGGCAAAAGCTGCATTTAGCAAGAAGAAGAATCTTTTTACCAGCAAATTGGACTTAAATTTGAGAAAGAAACTAGTGAAATGCTATGTTAGGAGCATAGCTTTGTATGGGGCTGAAACTTGGACACTTAGGGCAGTAGACCAGAAACACCTGGAAAGCTTCGAAATGTGGTGTTGGAGAAGGATGGAGAAGATCAGTTGGACCGATTATGTGAGAAATGAAGAAGTGTTAATTAGAGTCAGTGAGCAGAGGAATATCCTACACGAAATAAGGAAACGGAAGGCTAATTGGATTGGTCATATCTTACGCGGTAACTGCCTTCTATAAGTGACCAGAAGACGAGGAAGAAGACGTAAGAAGATGCTGGATGACCTTGGGGACAGAAGAGGATATTCTCATCTGAAGGAGAAAGCTCGAGATCGCATCAAGTGGAGGAACTGTTTTGGAAGAGACTGTGGACCTGTCGTCTTGACAGATTACAGATGAATGAATGAATAAGTTATTTATCATTTGACGTAGGAAGAATAGAGATAATTTTTGCAACCAGAATTTCAATTGGAAATAACTGAAAGTCATCACTTTGGTTATGTGTTCGATCTCAGGGCACAGTAACAGAATTTTAATCTTTCAGATGTTTATATCATGAACCTAACTTGAATCTTGGTTATGATAATAATCACTTAGCTCCTGGTGTTAACTTACCAGTATTCAGTCTGCGATAATCCTCTGTCTCCGCCTTCCTGGCGTTAATATGGCCCTCGTATGCTGAAAAACTCGCCACTAACGCCATAAGAACAGCTTTGACCTGAACACGAAAAGGAACAAAACTTAAATATTCCCATTAACGTGGTAAGGTTCCTCTCCATACATGTGTATGTTCAGATCTGTTGTTATGGATCCTGCAGCTCAAGTTGTATTGAGTTCATGCCAAAAACAGGACAAAATTTAAACTGTATGATTTTTCGTTCTTTCGTAGAATGATCGCCGTGAAGTTAGTTGTGTCCATCTGTCAGCCCGCTTGTTTCGTCTTTGAAGTTACTGGAAGATAGGAGGAAATTGTGATCAAAAAGAGATTGTGTAAGATTTGAGGTTTTCACGGCGGTGACTATGGAGAATGCCGTCTTCTGGGATTTGGTGTCATGTAGCTCTAGTTCACACAAGTAGGTTAGTCCAGTTGTTGGATCTGTACCTGTCACATCTAACCTCTGGGTTTAAATTACATGAGGTTCGTACTGATTTGCTGAAAGGAAGTCTCGCCGAACATACCATTTTACTTTATAAAATGTACGTCGTGACTATTATTAATGCCTAGTTTTTCAACTTTCATTCGTAATGTATTTAGAGACTGCGAATTTTTAACGAAGTGAAATTAAGAATAATTATTGAAACTGTGCAGTGCGATATTAGTAAGGCGATTACTTAGACGCTATTGAACATTAAGTTGAATGAGTTATGCAAAATAACAAAAAAAGAAAATTAATGTATTTGAACCCCAACGCAAAATCATTTTCTTGATTTTGATTTATTCGACTCGTGATGCCTGCTTATTATGTGCTTTAAGTAACTTCCGTGGCAAGCGCAGTTGTCGCTAGCTGTTACGTACGGTCGATACGTGAGCAGATATTTTTTCCTGGAAAATATGAACATTAAAACACGATGTGGAAATTAATGTAAAATTGATATTTAAGCCATAGACGCAGCAAATTAAAAGCACAGAATTTTATTTGGCGTTAACGTTTTCTGACACATATTTTTATCCCCATAATAATGGTTTTGACATCCTTCAATGATATGTCACATTATGTCTTATACTGGGCTGTGCTGAACTCTGTTCGCACTGAAACGTTTGCATAATTATTCAATTCATAATATCTACTATTCGTTCTCAGATATCAAGATTGTTATACTAAGTTCCTCTCTCGAAAACAGGCCATTTCGACGAAATAACTTCCTTCCTTCCAGCAGACAGATATCAATAGAAACCGTTGTTTATAAGTAAATACCGTGTTAAGATAAGGTAAAGTTGTCCCCCTGCTTAATTAGTTAAGCAATATGCCATGAAGAGATGTGGGGAAGTGGAGATGTAGCTCCACCTGTTTTGACTTCGGCAGTAGATGGAGGTGAGTAGTCAGCACGAGACGTACATTGTCTTGTTACCTTTAAGAATTAACTCTGATTTATTGTTAGATTAATTAATGATACTCTTTGAATTGCAGATGTGAAGTAGCAATATGTGAGAGGAAAAATCGTTATGAATGGTAAGTACTTAAATATCTGAAAGGAGAAGATCTCAAGATCAGTTATATTCTTCAGCAATGGCGGATCGACCTGAAGCAGCAGTCTGCTTGTGAAATGCAGCGTTTGAAACCACAAAGGAGGGTGGTTACGTAACAAGAACCACGTGGGCGTTGGAGTTCTGCCTTTGTCGTCATGGATTATGCAATTTTATGTCTGTACACGAATGCACAAAGAACTGAATGGATGAATATTCAAAATTGAGTTTTCTGTGGCATTGGAGGTTTTCACTACCTACTGAAAATAAATATAGTTTCGATGGAAAAATTCACTGCCACTTATCGTACTTTCACTCCTGTATAATTTCTCGCACTTTCTTACTTGACTGTAGAAATATTCTTCGGCAGTTTTGAACAATAGCAAAAAAGTCACATCAATATAATATTTTCTTCGGAATTCTTATAATCATACGTAATTCTACTCGTGTGTTATCAAGTTAAAGAGGAAAGCATGCTTACTGATCGGCGGTGTTTCATATTATTTTGTACTTTAGGCAGTACATATATTCTTCACGTTTATCCATTCTTAGACAAAACTCTCCTACGCGTGGGCGTCGCGAGAATTCCTTATCAAGGAGGTCAGCCAGATAGCTTGTTTACGAACAACTGATCGCCCTAGAATATTCAGGATATAAAAATATGGTTTTAATAATTTTAATTTTGGCATTATTCCTTTTTCATTTCAATTCTGAATTTTTCCCCAAATCCAGAAGGGTCAGATGGATGTCATGTCCCTTTCCGACGCCATGAACCCACGCTGAGAGAGGCTACTGTTCTGAAATGTCAGTAGAATCACAAGTCTTCTGTGTCAGCAGATGAGCACTAAACCAGAATTTCTGGGAAGAAATAATCACTTACTTTCCTTTGATACGACACAGACCACATAGAAAACGAATACAGTTGGAACACACAGACACACAGATAACAAGGTGATTTCATAAGCCTGTAATAATTTTTGAGGAGGGACGAGGGTACAAAAACGGATACTGAGACAAGCAACAAGGCGATTTTAAGAGCCTCCATTTATGTTTGCAAAATAGGGAAAACAGGTTAAAAATACGTCGGTGGTTTGGCTAATGACATAACCTTCCTCATGGACTTTGCGAAACTAATCAAAACTTTTAAAACCTTAATAGAAATAACATGGTATGTATCAGTCCTTAAGGTTTTTTTCGTTTACTGACCCAAGCCAAAGAAATACTTGGTTTATGATATAGCTCCTCCCGACTTATAGGCTAAATGTAGAACATAGATACTGCTCACACCATAGAGACAGCCTATGAAGACGCAGCCATTCTTGAGACCGAAGCAACAGCAACGCTTCAGCGTAGGTATCATGGCGCCCCTGTTGTCAGCGCCTGTTGCTGCCTCGTCCCCCCTGCCATAAGAGAAGCAACATCGTTACATAACGGGCTACTCCTTAGGTGAAGACTGTGAAAATACCACGAGATGTCCACATGACTTGGATGGGAGAGAAGTAAGTGCCAAAATTTGGCGGTAACATTCTTCTTGTGGTTCATTTTCCCATGATTCTAGTATATCGAGTGAATGGTGTCGAGGAATAAGACGATTGATGAATTTGATGGAAGTGGTCGTGGCCTAACCGAGGTATTTTTCCCATATTTCAGTGGAGGAGCTGAAGAAAACAGGCAGAAATCTCATTAAGGATAGCCGATGCCCCGGCCGAGATTCGAACCTAACTTTTTTTTTTAATTCGCTTAGTGGGGGGTGGTGTCCAACTGGGTCCACTCGGCACGGCGGCCATTAATTGGCCTATTATAGCCTGCCCCGGGTGATTATGATGATGGAGAATTTGGTGGAATGAAGATTGGCAGGGGAAACCGAAGTACTCGGAGAAAACCCGCCCCAGCGCCACTTTGTCCACCACAAATTCCACTTGACCAGACCCGGGATTGAAACCGGGCCGCCATGGTGGGAAGACAGCGAATAGCCGTTTGAGCTATGGCGCTGCCTTCGAACCTAATTTTACTTCCGGTTGTAGATCTCTTGGAATAACGCCTCTGCTTAGAATCTTTGTGTATACATATTACAGTGTCAATGGCAACATCTGTTCTTGTTCCGTACATATGTTTTGGCCGTACAAAGCTAATATCAAGTTATCAGCAATTCTAGAAAAATGATTTACTTTTTACAGTGTGAACGCTTTGTTAATTGTTAGGTACTACTTTATATGTATAATTCACTAAAGGGTTCATTAAAATTTGAACACTAAAATATTGGATTCTTTTGTGCTATATCTATTTTTCATTCAATGTTAAACATGTGGATACTATCAGTAACTTATAGAAAATATATTGTCATAAGGATTTTGTTGATTACTTTTATATTATAGTATTTGGTGTGCTTAGAATACTACTAAGGGATTAAAGATAACATTAATCTCTATCTTTGGGAGATATGTTCTGAGAATGGGAAATGGACGGAACTGTCTCAAAATATTGTCCAGTTAGCAATGTGGGAATTTTGGATTCTCCCAAAAATATTTTTAAAATCATGACGATTTTTCTTAAAAAATAATCTACAGGTGTATATTTCAGATTTTTAACGATAAGTGTCTTGTGCTGATTTAGCAGCCAAAAGGTTAAAGTACAGCGAAAATATATGGACACATGGACGTGTGAAGTATCTCAACTGATAATACCACGTGATAACGTTCTAGTTAATGCATGCGTGTACGTACCCGGATTGATAATCTCTGGTATTCCAGTATAATTATCTTCCCCATTCAGGCAGCGATCTTTATCTTGGACTCTCGGTGTTAAACTGAACTCATCACGGCAATGACTTAGTTTGAAATGCCACGAGTCGTATATTGATCCCTTTTAACACTTGTTCCTATATTCTGTATCGACATTTCTACTCATTTGTGGGCTGGGGCATGTAAACGTGACGCAACAAACCACAGAACAACAGCGCACAATCAGCGTATCTTTACATGATTGAAGGTTTGTTTCAGAGTTGCTCGGTGTGGCTTCTGACGGTGAAACTTTCTGTTACTGCAGGAGGCCAATGAGGTACTCGGGTACATCTAATTTAAAATATTATCCGGACTGGAGGATTGGGAATTGAGTGAAATTAAGGATATATTTTGATGTGAAATACATTTGTATTCTTTTGTGAAATATTCCAACTTTCATTTTTCCATATTCTTACGCCCCTAAGTACGTATTTTCTCATTCCCCGGCATCGAGGGAAACATTTTAATATTTCTGAAAGTTTTCATTGTGATTTAGAGTTCGGGAACGAAATATATTAAAATTCAGAAGTAACGAATCCTTATGAAGTTCTTCATTCGTAAAATAATATCTGAAATCACCGTCTCAGTATATCTAATTTATTTCATTTTTACTGATCAAAAGCTATTATATATCCAAAGTATTTCAATCATGAGAGCCAAGTACTTCAGTACATATGAAACAACACAATTATGTTACATAGCTTTATCAAATCGACATCATAAATATAAGTATTACTGCATGACATATGATGGCGCACCCCCAGGAGAGGGGGCATGGCCGATAGTAGACAGCCCCTCCACTCTTCGAGGAGGAGGCCCTCTTAAAAAATAAGTACAAGTCTTACATATAAAGAACATAAGTATGGTCATGGGTCCCGACGGGACCCGAAAATAAGATTGACTGTGCTGGCGAGGACCAGTAACAGTTGGCCTGACCTGACACGTGATACGACGCGACCCAGAACTAATCTGACAAAGTGTATCCAAGAGCTACTCATATCAACAAACGTCTACATAACACTAATTTTAACTACTTTCAAATTTAATCACTCTATTTAAAAAAATTATGTGCTTTAAATATGGCATAAATATTGTTAAGTTTTCTTTAATATTTGATCTCTCTCTCTCTAAGTGGGCATCTTGTGACCAAAAAATATTGGATATATTTTAGTATGCGATCATTGAAAAGGAAATAGTTTAGGTATACTTCGATGGTGATTTAGCATATTATTTTCACATATAAAGTACTTGTAGTATATTGGAAAAGTTAACCATATTAAATCATATAGTAATTACTAGATCTTTATATCATAGATGTACAGTAATAAATTCGCAAGCCACCATGTTTGGTATTGTTAACGACAGGAAATTGAACAATAAAATATTTTTAATGACACATTGTTCATACCAAGTTTCATGAAAATCGGTCAATTTGTTTAAAATCCATTAGCAGAAAAAAAAGCATATAAGAGAGACTGTCGTTTTATAACCTTTGGTTTCATCGTACATTTTTGAAAGTTTACCAGAAGTGCCTGATTCTTAGCTCCAGAGATATCTGTGAATGGATCTAATAACTTTCACTCTTGAAGTCTTTGAGGAATTTCATTTCTCCTCACTGGAAACGTCGAGACCATTTCAGGATTCCCAGTAACCCGGTCGAGACTGGAACCGAATTGCTCGGTCAGTAAAATATCTGGCTAAGTTTTGGAGACCTAGGTTCTGTTCCATGCACGGGTAGAATTATTCTCTTCGCCTCTACCACGCGCAAATACTAGAAATAGGGCATAATCTGTTGTACAATGCCTGGATTGACAGAGGCCTTGTATATATTGTACATAGAAATAGTAATTAAGACTAGAATTAAATTGTAAATATATGTCAATACCGACAATGGACTGACTAAGACTGACAAATGACAGACCCGACCTCTCGTCAGAGAGGGCGCCCCAAATAGACAAAACAGCAAATTTCACAAAGAAGAAAACATCTGGTCATGAGCCCCAGCTGGGGCTCGACACCGAGACAGACAGACTGACTGACCGTCAGTTGCAACATGACTTTGACTTTGACTTACCACGAGCAGACCTCGCTCGGGCCCGCCTCCTATCCAATCAGAACAGCGGAATATCCCCTTTGGAGTAGATTGCTCTGTGCATGAAGAAGTTCGTGCTGGAGCTCATTTTATCGGCGCTGTCTGTAAATATACATTGCGTTGAATGACTGGATAATAATAATAATAACGGACTGGAAGGGATGAGGAAGGAAGCGGTCGTGATCTTGTTTAAGTCTGGCATTTGTCTGGAGAAACCGAGGGAAACCATGAAATACCTTAGGATAACGGTGTCCCAGTCGACACCCGAACCGGGACCTACCCGGTATACCAGGAGTTCTCTCGCGAGCCATCTTGCTGGCTGATATGTGAAGTTGACCAGTCCTCGTCTAATGACGAATTTATGCCTTAATAATGCTTGAAGGTTTACCGTCACTCCCTGACTCGCCTTCATAACTTTCTTTTTACCACATAAGCACTAGAATGTCACTTTTTTAAATATTTTACATAGTACACCCTCGCTAACTTGTTTCGTAACGAATCTCATTTAAAAATAGTTGCCCACGAGTGTGGTTTACATAAGAGGATTTCATACGACTGCCGAATACGTATCGACTATTCTGTGAAGACTACAAACTGGAAATAAGGCCTATTCACAATGTACGTACAGTCACCGACAGGGACCGGACCGTCAGCGGACCGACAGACTGCTGGAGTATTAGGCAGCGTCTACACGAGCGCACAAAATGCGTCCGTTGTAACGAACGTACTTTGTTGAGGATGTTGCTAAAGACACCACACACTTGCCGAATGCGGTGCGTAGTTTTTTGTCTGCAATGGAGCCAGAAGAAAGCGTAGCATTCGCCTCTCTTATTTATTTCTACAACGGACGCATTTTGTGCGCTCGTATAGAAGCTGCCTTCGACTGACTTTTCTAAATTATTCATTGGAGACAGGCCTGACTTGCTCGCCTCACCCGCCTTTTACGTTCTATGTATCTATTTATCTAAAAAAAATACTTAGTGGGGAGTCCAACTGGGTCCACTCGGCACGGAAGCCACTGATTTGCCTATTGTACCTGCTCCGGGTGATTATGATGATGGAGAATTTGGTGGAATGAAGATTGGCAGAGGAAACCGAAGTACTCGGAGAAAACCCACCCCAGCGCCACTTTGTCCACCAAAAATCCCACTTGACCAGACCCGGGATCGAACCCGGGCCGCCGCGGTGGGAAGCCAGCGACTAACCCCTCGAGCTATGGCGCGGCCCAGGCTATCTATCTATCTATGCAGCCCTTTCGTTGGACCTTGCCAGCTTTTTCACTTTCTTAATCCAATACACAGACGGTAGGACTCCTTGGACAGAAGATCAGCCCGTCGCAAGGCCTCTACCGACGCACAGAATAATACAAACACAGAGCAAACGCACAAGACATACTTGCATTGAGTATGACTCGAATCCACGGTTCCAGAGTTCGAGCGAGCGAAAACCGTCCATGTCTTAGCTCCGCGGCCCCTGTGATCGGCTGTTTTGCGTTATATGCAGAGCGGAATTGAAAGGTGCGGGCAATTTGGGCACGGGTTCTATATAACCCAAATCAGGGAAAGTGTCCATATCAACATGCATCCGGTAACAGTTAATTTGTGAGTTATAGCTGGAAGAGTACATTTATAATAAGTGCTAAAATGTCTCCATGAAATTCAATGCACGTCTTGACACGTCTCATCATGGACCGCCACATCTGTTCAAAGATATCCGGGTAGTTTCCGATACTCTGACAGGTACCCACAGTGAGATGGTGAGGTGTCTCTTCGTTGTCAACAGGAGCTGCATACACAAGGGTATTCAGGTGCCACCACGGGCTAAATCCAGAGGATTCCAATCTGGTGTGGAGCGTGGAGGCAGTGCGGTGGGCCCTCCTCTACCTATCCCTCGGTTGTAGAGAACATCTCGCACAGCACGGCTAAAATGCGCGGAGCACCACGTCACATGTACCACGCTCGTGCTTCGACTGCCAGTTGTACATCTTCCAGTAGCTTCAGCAGATCGTGCGTGAGGAAATCTCGGCAGCGGTTGCCTCTAAGCCGATGTGGCAAAACCATGCGGGCCTACCAAACAATCACCAACAATCCCTGTACACAAATTAATGCTGAACTGCTGCTGGTGTCCACACAGCACTCTTTCGGCTGTAACATAAGTTAAATGTTTCCGGACACACGTTATTATGGACAGTGTTTCCTGTTTTGATGTGTGGAACGTGTGCCCAAATTTTGTCCGCACCTTTCAGTCACATTCTGTACAGAGAGAACCGAAAGTTAGAATTCACGAAGAAGAGGCGAAGCAAACGAGCAAGAAAAGTTACGGTTATTTCCTGACATGTTCTTTTTATTGCTAGTGGGGGGGGGGACTAAGTCCCTTGTACTGCGGCCACTTCTGGCCTATTGTACCAGCCCCAGATGATAGGTGAGGGTGATCGTGGAGCATTTGGTGGAATGAAGATTGGCAGGGGAAACCGAAGTACGCGGAGAAAACCTGCCCCAGTGCCACTTTCTCCACCACACATCCCACTTGAGCTGACCCGGTTCCTGACATGTTCCTTCAATACATCGTCGCTACTGCCTTTATGGTTCTTATTAATGGGCGCCGCTAGGATTCTGTTCCGGAGGGGCGGAGCACAGTTTTCCAATAGGAGGAGGCAACCAGAAAATTTGCTTACAGACTTACATTTAACAGAATCTTTCTTACTGATTTATAAAAACACGTCTAAATTTTATTATTAATATCTGGCACATATTTTTATTTGAATTTGGATGTTTTTTTTTCAAAAATGGATTTGGTGCAGATGTCTTGTTTGACCTCTCTTCCAGCGCCAACACTAATACTGTGTGATATTTCGTCTTTTGTGCTGGCAGAATTCATTTTTTCTCTCATTTCTCACTCGTCTATCAGAAATCGACATGATGAAGGTTGTAGCTTGTTCA